TCCAGCATTCAGTCCGCGCTCAGAGCAACTGGGATCTTCTCTTCGACAGAGAAGTCTCCCCGAGTAGGCATTCTCAACGGCGGATGTGACCGACGGGCCGCTCCAGGATGCCTCTAGTGCTGGACCAAGTGGTGCCCTGCGGGGGGCGGCTTCTCCGACGTGGGACCAGGTAGCACCCTTTTACGGACTGAGCTGGGGTCCGGTGGAACTACGCTGGATGCACCAGTCACCAGTCCAGTCGCCTGTGCTGCAGTAGGAGCCATACTGCCCATTTCAAGAGTTTCGCCACAAAAAGCGGACCAGCCAATCGTAAGCGAGGATGATCGATGCAAAGCAAAGCAAAACAAAGACACAAGGCGGGCAAGCGAAGCGGAAGTCGACGAATAGAGAATGCCGTCTTCCGACATAATAGTGATGAACATAAATATAGCTATCCCATGCCAATGTGTAAAAGCCAGGAACATCTATGCATTCGCATAGGTGACAAATACTGTTCAGCTGCCACTCTACGTGGAACATTACCCTTCCCACGGTTAGATGTGCATCGGACGCGGCCACGAAGACTCAGAAATTACGTCCATTACATAGGTTACATATTTTACTGCCACACTTATACGTGCACAAAAGATCAACGTTTCACCCTGCACAGTCAAAAGCTCAAAATTTCCATTCATGTTATTACAGTTCATCAAAATGGAAAAGTGCTTTTCTTACAATAGTTTACGCTGCGTGTCAGCATGAGGTTGTCAACGTCAACCATTGTTCCCGGGTAACTTGGTTGTTCCCAAGGCCCATATCCTCGAATCCCCCCATGTGCTGATAATAGGCCCTACCCAACACTTGTGCAAAAGATAACACTCCAAATTCAACTGAAAATATGCCTTCCAACATAGCTTTAGCGGTCTCAGTTTCAACAGGCAAAATTCAACGGACGTACACAATTCTGAGTTGATCGTTTTTGAAGCTAACGAATACATTAATTCGTGAACGAAATACTCTTCTGGTTGATTAGCATATTTACGTTTGACGACTTGGTGCCCACCTCTGCATTTTGACATTTTTTAGGCTCTGTCCAGGCTCAGCGAGCATACATGTTTTGTGTTTGTTCCCTCCATTCAGGCGTGTAGTTTCGGCAAATAAGTTCTTTCGTCACAAAGTTTGACGGTTCAACAGTAAAACAATACTGCTATATGCTCGCAAAGCACACTAACGCACCGGGTTTTCCTCGGATTTGGCTCACTTTTTCTTAAAGTTGGAGGGGAGAGGGAGGCTGAAGCCCAATTGAGGGAAGTTGGAGCCCCAGCTGAATAGGAAACTTCACCCCTGCCTCCATCGCAATACAGAACCGCAGTCACATCTTTGGCAGTGCGAACTGCAATGTCAGTGTGGCTACTCCACTCCCCCGCCTGCTTGTGCCTTTGCACTGCCCCGCTCTCCTCTCACGGTCGGGGTAGCGTGCATTCACGTAACCGACATCCTGCACAGGCCCCTGCCCGCCCGCTGGATTTCACTTTCAAGGGCGTTCGCAGGGGCGGCGCTGCCGGCGGCGAGCCCAAGAAAGTCATCGTGTGACGGTGCCTGGCGTGCGGCGACGAGCTAGCGCAGCGCAGGGGGCTGCTGCGGCGCTGAAGGCGGGTGCGGCGGCCGGTGGGTGGTGCTGGTCGGCGGAAGAGGACACTCGTGACCTTCCAGGACACCAGGTCGGCGAAGAAGGACCGGACAGGCTCTCCGGTCACGCCCTGCGCCAAGGTATGGCGGCCGGACAGGTGGTCAGCTCAGCTGACAGCTGTGAGGTCACACCACCTGCGAGCACGCGCGACACTTTCAGCTTTGAACCGCATGACTGGATCGAAGTGTAAGCGTAAAAAGATGGTGTGTAGTCTGCTTACCCTGAGCCTTGGGTGCTTTCGCCGGATGTATTCTTAGTTATTTTCTCATGGTATCTGCTGCTTCCTTTAGAGTCAAACACATCAGCAAATTAGAAGTAACGCCAAGCTCTTCTAAGCACAGACTACAGGGATACTTCATGCGAAAATGCTCCTATGAATGTGAAAATGTTTTCATCAATATTTGATAATGCCACGCCATGCCAAACGACACCATATTAGGGGCACGGGGCACCTTTGCCACCTTTGTGACAAGGCAAGATTGGTGCACATAGCCCATGCGTTTCCAGCGATTCCAACCCCCAGCGTAATCTGCATAGACGACTGCAGCTGCGCAGCGGCGACCTGCGGTGTTCGGTACATATCTCCGTGTGGGCGATCCCGGCAGGCGTGGCTACATTCCTACACGGCGTTGCAGTTTCCCTGCGCTACCGTTCGGCGGCGGCGGGCCCAGCGGCGGTGCAGGCTGGGTGTCTGTGCAGATCGCCATCAGGCGCACCCAGCGACGACTGTGCAGGCGCAGTTACGGAAATGAGACGAGTCTTATCGCAGGGGGATGCACCCTGCCCCGCTATGCCTGCAGATGATCACCAAATCGAGTGTGAATCAAACCTCGATGGCCGGTCGACGAACACGATTTCCTTTCGGGGATGTTTGGGATCTCCGGAATAGGAATCGCCTGCGGCATTTGACGTATGCACGTTGTTGGAGAGTACTTTATGCATTCATATCTTGCAAAAACTTTAAGCGCTTGGAGGCTCGTCCTTATGATTTAATCTCTTTATTGCGCTGAATTCCCTTGGAAATCGGGAAGTCGAATCACTGTAATTGTATTTCGTTTGAGAGTATGCAGACCAAACGTCCTTAACAATGCAAAAGTTAAATTGTGCGGAATGAAATTGTCTTAAGTGGAAAGATCACTGTCGGTAACTACCAAAGCCTAAAAAAACTCAGCAATAATTCAAATGTTCAGTCTAACGCGTCCATTTGAGGCGTGCGAGACTTTAACGTCCGGCTAGCAACGCATCTTTCGATCGAAAGAGCAGCACATAAGCGTGACCACTACTAAGACTGGTATTGTCCGGACCTCACTAACTTTTTGGCAAATTGAATCATTTTTGTGTTTTAACCATATCAAATGGCACCAAGAGAGACGAGTTCCCCAGATGAAACGTCTGCAACATTTCAACTGGAGAACTTGTCCCTTTTCCCGAGATAAAACATTTTTCGTCTACGTCGGAAACATTTTAGACATAGCCACTCCAACGTCCACGCCCCTGACCCCCGAATATTTTCCGGAATTATTTCCGAACGGTATGTGTGTAGCCACACCAAATTCTGCATAGCTGTAGACAACAAAATAGCAAATCGTTTGACATCCAAAATTTAGATGTACCTTGTAAGGTCACTGACCTACAGTAGGTCAAAGTCAGACCATAGATTCCGCGAGGGCAATTTCAAGGAAATCGTTCAATTTGATGCAACAACGGAGCGTTAGACGAAGCCAACATCTCTGTGATACTTAATTGGGCAACACAACAATTGAAATTAACAAATTTCCATTGACTTGGGGTGCGATATAAAGGCCAGACCAAGGTCAAACCGACCTGTTTTATTGCTCTAGAGTTTGCTGGATGGGGTAGTAGTTTGTGGTGCTCATTTTCAGTTTATTGACAACAGGAACCACATTATACATCTGCCTTGGAATTTCTGAAGGTCAGAATAGATCAATGACCTAAAATGGCCCAGGTAAGCTTTTTAGGAACAACTGCTTAGCGTAATTCTTGATGCTTGCTCAGATGACAAAAATTTAAAGCAGTCGTGTATGGTTTTGGTAACCATTGGCCTTGGAAAGGTCACAATAGGTCACGGACCCTCTAATAAACACCAGTGATTTTTACTTAGAGTAGGTATCTAGGTGCACGGCGGGTTGCATCGGGAGGTCTGGGGGCACTTTGAACACCAGTCTGGAGTTTGACCTTGTTAGACCTTATTTGACACGAAAGCCATAAGCTAGGAGCCTGAAGTTTTAGCACAAGCGAGTTCACGCACGAGTCAACACTTCCTTTGAATTTAGTGCTCCTAGCTCGCTTAGTTTTTGAGATATCAATGGAGTCAAACTGACCCACACCCGAACGAACGGTATTTAACCGGCCACCCGGGCGTGCGTTCATGAGCTGCAGTCCACCCATCCATATTTTTTTACCTTTTGCTCCGAATTTTCATCTTATGCTACGCGCATCATTGTGTAGGTACGGATATGTAGGGAGGTGTAGGTATGCATATCTTGCGCATATCTTGCATATCCGCGCATATCTCATAATTCCAGTCTCGATACTCTCAACCGTATCAAGGAAAAATGTAGTACTAGCAGCAGGCCAGATACCGGAACATGTGCTGTTTTCACGAATGGTTGTTACGTGAGGTGTTTCGGCAACTTGTACTCAAATAGTTAGGATTTGAAAGAAATTCAGCAGTTATTCGAGATAAGAGCGCCCTGCTTGGTTACTCATTAAAACTGTTTGTAACTCAGATATGATACGCTGAAGCCGCTTGAGCCAACACACATTTTCGTGCGATCGATCGGATTTCGTGAGAATGGAAAACATGTGAAGACATGGCGGTCCAATTAGCCCTGGTGAAAAGGCCGTTGATAGTTACAAACCACCCCGTGCCCATTGCGATACCCAAATTGCACTACTAAAAACAAAATAACAGACAGTGGTCCACTATAACTTTTTATTCATCTCATGCGAGGTACATGAAACACATTAAAACCACTGTTCGTAGCCCATCGTTCCCGACCCAGAGTTCCCGACATGCCTACATCGTCAAAAGCAAGATTCATGGACCAGCGAATAAAATAGACCGGTGCTGCCGGGGCCAGCTTCGGTGATTTCGGTGAGGCCCCTGTCACAGCAAGTCCGCCCCTCCCAGATACAATCGCAGATCGCACCGTAGGTGCACCTCATCTCTCACCCCCGCACCTCATCTCACCCCTCATCTCTCAACCCGACCCCATCGTGTCACTGCCCGGCCGCGTCCGACGCTCTCCAGGCGCCAATAAACGACCAGCCGCCGCGCCATCTGTCGCCGGCCTCTAATTCTGGACGGCTTTGAGGGCCGACAGCACCACGCGGCCCAATCTCGAGTGTGTTCCAATCTGTTCATCAACGCATGGGGCTGATGACATCCCCGCAGCGTCAACCGGGCAGGAGTCGAGCCAGCCGCATTCAGAATCCACGCGGGACGCGTGATTGTTTGGGACTCACTCAAACTCGATTGGATTGATTTATTTTCTACAGGGGTCATCTTTGAACTCAAACTTGACAGATGAGCAGTCTGAGGAGGCGGATATTGGCTCAGAGTCATGTCCAAAACTCGAAACTCATGATTCAACTGGAAATAACTCACCGAGAGGCGCTGTACGTCCGCCGGTCAGCTGATCGTGACGTCACCTCGCTAGCTCCCACAATAAGGGCTCAAGAGTTGGTTACAAGGCTTGGTTCATTGCCGACTCAAGGCGATTTGCTTCGCGATCTCATATTTTCTGCGTCACAACCCTCAAAATTGTCTAGGTCAGGGTGAGATCACTGACCGAAACAGGAGGTGTTCCAATCTCTTTTTACTTCTCTAGTGCCTGAAGCTGGTTTTTTCGGCAAATCGTCTCTCTCTTCACCTCAGTTTTTAACCTTATGTTTACACGGGGGGAACTCGGCTCCCTTTCGTGTCTTACATCATCGCCAAGCTGTTTCAGCTAGAAAGCTGAAATTTAACACTTTTCTTGGCCATCAATTAAACATATCCTGAAGACATTTTGGCACACGGATCACCCAGACGGAACCCCGGGTCGGTTTGTTGAAAGCACGGCAGGACAAATCACAGGCTGTCGAAGACACGCACTGGCACATTGCAACCTACTATTGGAAGTCAATGTCTGTCTTAAATATATGTTCATGTGAAGTCTATTGAGGACCACATTCTCCCTGACGCCACCCCTGTCCCAGGGTGACCATTTCGCGCCAACAGACCGCATTTTCCCTGACGCCACCCCCGTTCCAGGGTGACCATGTCGCGCCAACACCGCCACGAGGGGCGCCACCATCGGGACGACGTGGAGAACCGGTACCAGGAGGACGAGGAGGACGACCGGCGCTACCGACATCGAGATGACGATCACCGGCAGCGGGCTATGCACCGCGACTATGACGAGGTAGGGAGGGAGAGGGTGAATATGAGATTGCGCCAAACGCCGGATCGCGGAAGGACAACTCAGAACGGCTGTATACCGTTTTGTGGCCATTTTCCGTCGCTAGGCAGACAGGAGTTTGGCGTTTCCATGCTTGCAAACTCCACAAATTTAGCTACCCAGTCTCACCTTTTCCACATTTCTTGTTATCCTAATGATGTAGTTACTGCGGTTTTTGATGAGGTAAACGCCAACGACCAAAGAAAGGAGAAACGTGTCATTTGCTGTAATGCAATCCGAACCCCCGAATAAGGCGAGCACTACATGATACTCCGCTACGGCACATCCACTCTGTATTTGGTGATTCCACGGGTTAGGCGCAGATAAACTATTCGTCCCGGTCGTCTTACTCAGCAAAGTCAGATATCACATCGCTCGCCCCGTCAAAACGGCTGGACGATACCTTCGATATCTTTCGATATCTTTCATAGATATCTCTAAAATGGATCGACTTGCACATTCTACCTGCTTGCTGACATGTACGATACGGTGCCGGACACGAGCCAACTGCCCGTCACAAACGGAGAGCGTACGTGGTCGAGTCTGTACGTCGAGAGGTCAGGACCCGATTCCCGCTGGGGAAACCTTCACCGCCGCCTCGCCGCAGCAGCGCAGCGAGACAGAGCGCGCGCCGTCGGACCGGGCCGTGAGCGAGTTCATCCTGGACACGCCGCGCTACGACATGCACGAGCAGGAGCGCTACGACACGGGCCGCGGCCACCACGGCCGGTCACGGGAGCGCAGCCACGACCGCCGCTACGACGACGACCGCGGCCACGACCGCCGCTACGACCCGGAGGAGCGCGAGGCCAGCGAGATATACGCCGAGGCGCATCAGCCGCCCCCGGTCAGCGAGATGAGGTCAGTACGCTTGGAGGCGGAGTGTTGTATGTGGGTGTTGGACGGAATCAGTGCCCGTGAGCGCTTTTACCTGAGTGGGGGGGAGGAGGAGAAGAGGTGGGAGTGGGGGTGGGGGTGGGGATGGGGGTGGGGTGCCGTAGTTGGCGTGGGAACGAAACACGTCATCAACGGCTGAGTAAAGTCACCAAAACGCGGCTAGTTCGCCGCAAGGTAACCAGTATACCAATGCCTAATCAGAGGAGCTGTAAAGACGAGTCGCGCTGACCAGTGAGAAGGCCGAGTAGCCCAGGCAAGTGTCTGTGTGTGTCGCAGACAGGCGCCTTACGTCCTTCGCCATCGAAGCCAGCTCAGTTGGTCTACGCTCGGCCGATAGCCAGCACGTGCATGCGAAATGAAAGCACGGGAATAGAATGAACGAAATGAAAGCACGAACAGCACATGACCGATGATGATGATGATGATGATGATGATGATGATGATGATGGTTATGCTGATGATTTGGGACGTAGGGCGCGCCGGCTACCCTGGCCATATGGCGTCCCTATTAAAACCCTGATGCAGCGAAGAAAATACAGAGACGTATTTGTTAGGTCCGTCATTGTTTCGCTTGTAATGTGCATGATTCAGTATTTATGTCCGCAATTCACTCGTGTTTTTGTGATTCATCAGTCACATTCAGGTTTCATTAATGTCGGCCCGTCGCCTTGTTCCAGCCACTACGCCCCAAGCCAGCGCACTTACCGCAGCGGGGTCTCAGACGGCACGATGAAGACGAAGACGTCCCGCCACGGCAACCTGATGATGGAGACCATGGCAGCTCCTCACCCGTGCTGCCCCAACACGAAAGGTGGGACCACGATGAGGGACCACGGCGACCGGGCGCCATCCGGGTGCTGCGTTGGAGATGTTGTTCTGCGAGCTAACGTTCGCCTATCTTATAGCCCCCGGTGGACTAGCACCGCACATGTGGCTACGGGTGGCTAATATAGGAGCCAGGCCGGCTCGCATCGGCCATTTTTTCCCTGCTCTTCGGTACCCATTCACCAGCGTCGCAAAGCCGACGGCAGGTGGCCGACCGCGTTCAGCGCAGGCTTCACGCGGTGTGGAAAATAACGTGCCCGAAAATAACGTTTTTCATCGTTCGTCTTCCACTCCGACCGTTTGTGCGGCGAAAGGCAACGGGTTCACAGATTCTCAGAGACGCGCATGGTCACCGGCCGCACGCTTGATCGCAATGCTTTGCCGCCGTGCATTGCCACCCATACGTTGTCCGCCACCGCAGCCTTCGTCGCCTTGCTGACGTTGTCTTTGGCTTTGATTGGACCTTGCTGACGTTGCCCCTGGCTTTAATTGGACCGTTGTCGTTTGAAACCGCGCCGGGCATGCCGGGGACTGAGACCTGAGGCGTCGCATGTTAGCTGACTGTTAGGGTAATTATGACACGGCCCGCTCTGTTGCAGGCGTCTGCTGCCTCATGCTGCTGCTGAACTTGGCCATTCTGCTGATCGCGCTAGGTTTTGTCATCATCCTTCAGCTCTTCAATCCGCCGTTTGTATGGTGAGTGCTCACGCGGCTCAGGCCTGAGACTCGTCGGTGGTGCTCGTGCCTCTGTGCAGGCACGCGGGCGGACTACTACCTTTCTCACTGCCGTCTTGCAGTGAATGTGAACAATTCATTAATGTGAAACTGTCGCCTTTTCTAAGCCACTATGCCCCGAGCCATCGCACACAACGCAGCGGGGTCTCAGGTAGTTGATGGTTCGACTGCTTGATGCTTCCATTTCCAAACTCTTCTCCCGTATACCGCTGAGAAAACTCGGTGTTCAGGCCTCCCCCGAACGTGCCGTGCCCTGCCCAGGTGCCTGCACCGTGTTCTCGTGCACGCAGGGTCATGTGCTGTGACGCGCATCGAGTCATTGGCCGCGGATAAACCAGATGTGCTTCTCAGAGCCCCTTCCTGCCGGCATGCGGGAATACCTACTCGGATCACATGCCGTGTCCCCGCACAGGTATACCGCGAGCTCTTCAAGTAGACCGCACCGCTAGCTGTGGTCACACACGCAGTGTTCCCCACCATACACACCGGCGCACGTGCACGCATAGGTGCGTTTCACTGACGTCTGCCAATTACGTGACACGTGACGCGTCGCCGGCCAGGTTCATCGGCCTGGCGCTGCTGATTGGCGGCTTCTGCGCGCTCATCTTCTGCCTGGTGTACTGCGTCTGGGTGTGCAAGGACGCGCAACGCGCCAACGATCAGGGCGAGCTGTACTGGACCCACCACTGGCAGAAGCAGTGGGGCTACCAGCCTTCCGAGAAGCCATCCGAGCCGTACCGGGAGCCCGAGCGGTACTGAGGCGGCGCACAGCGACACGCAGCGGTACCGAGACGCCACCGGCCGCTAGCTGCTACTGGTGAGAGCGCGAGTACGCTGGTGGCGTGATGACGTAGCGGTCTGAGCGCCGGGCTCTCACGCGAGATTATGCGTTCGTTTCCAGGCTGATTTTGCGCCCTAAGCAATCACTGTTTTTGTAAGGGGCCACTATGAACGTCGTCGCGTGCCCTTTTACGTAAAGCCGTTGACTGCAATGGCCATATAAGCACCCAGGGGTCGTGGCACAACTGGGATTCGAACTCAGGCCTCCCCGTGGAGCCGAAGGCGCTTATCACTCGCTCATTACGCAATTGCTGCAATACATGGGGGGGGGGGGGGGGGGGGGGGGGAAAGGGAGCGCGTCGTGTGCCACTCTTTGTTAAAAGGGACGTGGGCATTTGACTGAGATGTACGGTCCGATTCCGTGACACAGGCTCGTAAGGCGGATATTCGCACGGAAAAGTTCGCACACAAATTTTTGTTGGCGCATTCGCAGATGTCTGCAATGCAGGCGTTCGTGAACGCTAATATTCGTACTTGCAAATGTTCATGTCGCGAATGTTTGCATTGCAGATGTTGCACCGCAAATGCGTTCCTCATTGCGGATGTTCCTAACGCTTATGCCGTAAACGCTCATGTTCATGCGCACAAACGTTCGGATGAAAAACCATTGTCGTTAACTTGTGCCCTCAAATGCCCGCTCCAGAGACGTTCGTAAGCTAACGATACCGGTACCATAAGAGGGCATAATAATGTTCAGATAGGGCGCCTAATGCCGTATAAATATGTAGGGATCCTGGTCACCTTCCCAATTACCCTCAGACTTCAGTATTGATTTCATATTGTCGCCACCGACATGGTATATATATATATATATATATATATATATATATATATATATATATATATTACGACTGGGAGTGCTGCTACTGGGACTCCCCCATAAGGACCCGTCATCGGTAAATGGGCAGGGCGTGGGCGCTCGGGCGAGGCTTGCGCCATGGAGGGTGGGGAAGGGGGTACTTCAGTCTATTCCTGGCTGAAGCATACAGCTTACCCCGGATAAAGTGGTCGTTGTGTGAGTGGAGGATAAAGCAGCGAATAAGGGAAGCAGTGCCGATACTGTTGTTGTGTAAGCACTGCCAGGGGTGTACTCATCGCTTGTTGAGCCAGTGTTAAAGTCGAAGAGATTTGCAGAAAAGCAGTTTCCCCTTTACGCTGTAAAGATAACATAATGAAAACAGAGAAGTTAACATGGATTAGCATGAGCAGAATACGCTGCCCATATCAAGACACAAAAATTAATTGTTGGCGGGCTCGATCTTTCTAAAACAGCGCGCAATGGCTCGATATCTCCATGGCAACGGCCGTTTGTCTGGCCGCGCCCATCTATGGCGTCTTGGTTTAACCATATCGGCGGTGTTCACGAGAGATGGAAGCTGGTGGCCTGAATGTGACGTGACTCATTGCCATGGACTTACCTTCGTGAAGGACTATGAGAAGGGAGAAACCGTGGGCTAGAAGACTGTACAATTGCAAACACAGCAAGCGCGGAATGCGTTGGCCTCGGTGTCATGAGAGTTGGATTGACACCGCCGTTGTTTCCACTCGTGCGACTTTCTTAACTTCCCAGCGTAATTTTTTTCGGGCTTAGGAGCATTTGCGATAAAACATCTACACAAGCAAACATTTACCATACGGACACCTGCGATAAGAACACTAGCGTTTACGAACAGTTGCAGTGCGAACATCTGCGCACACAGACATGTGTGGTTACGAACATCTGAGGCGCAAACATCTGCAGTACAGAAATCAGCATCTAGGAAAATGAGCGATTGGGAAAATACGAACATTTGCGATATCTGCACCCGGTTTACGAACATGCTTCTGGTCTACGCTCGACCCGGGTGGGGAGCTGAGACACCGCGCTGGGCACTGAACAACAGGAATACACCACGGAGGCAGTTGGTAAAGGCCCGAGACCACGCAAGACGCAACTCAGGCCCTCAGGGACCGGCACTAAGGCACTGGGTCACCAGGTATGAGCCACTGGGGGAGGGGCAGGAACAAATCAATGAAAGTGGCGGGGGAGCAAGAGCATGACACTGGGATGCGAGAGTCATGTGCTGGGGTAGGAGAAGGTGCGGAGGGAGGGAGGGAGAGGGGGGGGGGGGCGAGGAACTCGGGCGTGGGATTGAGGCACGGCAAGGAGTAAGAGACTGAAGCCCTGAGAATGCGCTTTAGACGCGGGAGCACGGGACTGAGATCCTGGGCGGTATCGAAACATTCCGCAGCGGAACTGGAGCACTGGGGACGGAGCTGAGACACTACGGTACAGTATTAGGTGGCGGGACTGGCTGAGCCATTGGAGGACGGAACAGGGTAACTGGAGCATAAGACTGATGCACCGCGAAATGGGACTGAAACACCGGAGACGAGACTGAGATGCTACAGGTGGGACTGGGGCACTGGCGATGGGACTGGTGCGCTGGGATGGGACTGGGGCACTAGGGATGGGACTAGGGCACTGGGGCTGGGACACCGGGATGAGGCTGGGACACGTGGGGTGGGGATGGGACACTGGGGGCAGAAGTAAGGCAGGAATCAGACCCGGTCGGAAGGCGCGCAGACAAAAGTGATAGTTTGCTGCTGCCACGGTCTACTGTTGTCCGACTGTCATCGGCTGCTGCAGTTGCGAGAACAGATTCCCACGTAATGTTTGTCTAACATTTAGGCTATGTAATGTTTGATAACGTTGAGGAGCAAAGGCACCCACTGTCGCACAGTCTGCAATGGACATTGATGAAGCGACAATTCCACAGCCGTCTCACCACTGGAGTCAAGGAACAGAGCAGACGTGAACGAAAACGACAGGAGACGACGGCAAGGATTCCCGAGCAGCGACTGCGGCGGCTCTCCGTAGTGTAGTAACATTCACGCATGCGTGTGTATAACCGCATACATGATCACTTGACTTTCGACTACAGAGTCGATCTCCTACCCCTACTGGCCGTCGTAGCGTCGCATTACGTTGATCCGAGCTGCCAGCCGCCAGCCTGCACATGCCGGCACAGGTCGCCGATCTGCAGACCGGCCCTTGATCAGCCCTCAGCGTCCGGCAGTGAGATGGGTGGTCCAACTGTGATGGTCTCTGATGTGGGGCTGGGTGTCCCCCCCGTGCCAACATGGGTCCGAATAACGACTGCGTTAACATATCGTAGCTATCTCGAGTCACGTCGAGGCGGGCGGCGGAATCGTCGCTGGGGTTAACGTGGCTGCTCGTCATTCCGTCCCGAGTGAAGCGTTGTGAGTAACCATAGTAACTTATGACGGCATGCTATTATTGGTGTGATTAGAAGCAAAGGCGTGGTGCAGTGAGCAACACGAGGCACAGGTAACGCAGTGATCAACTTTAGCCAAACAGTCAAAATGTATAATTATTGTGCTGGTTATGCGAGAAACGCCTGCTGTGTGATTGAGTTGGGCACTGTAGAGACATAACGTCGACTAAAGGTCGCGGTGCCGAGTGTGGACGGTGCGCTGACCTGGTGCGTAACACCTGTAACACGGCGCCTTAGAGGTTGGTGCACCGTCGCCAATGACTAGAACATGACTAATACATTATTCCTGAGACGTCAATTTCCGTGACTGATCATGAGCCTAGCTGCCGTCTGCAGATTCTGCCATAATCGACGACGCGGACGGAGAACATAATTTTATCAACGATTACCGATCTTCCACGATAAAATTTTGCCAAGTAAAATAATTTTGGATGTGGTTGGGTAGCATGAGTTCGCTGACGCAGGGCGTTATTTCCGGCGTTTCACCAATATATTTTGATGCAGTTTTGGGCTATTTGTTTTTTGTATAATGGGAGCGCACAAAAAGTTTAAAAGGATACATTCCATTGATGTCCCTGGGACAATAATCTTGCTCACGAAGCCGTTTGCGAACAATTCCCAACACCACAGAAGAGCACTTCCAGTATAACGGATAACTCTTGCTTCGGCCTCTAGCACTGAAGAGAAGTTCGTCATCACACGCAAACCACGTCACGGTCGACCCGCGGTAGCCTTGCTCCCTGCGCCCGTCACCAGCTGACCGCAGTTCATGGACCGCATGAGCACTATTTCTGCGGAGCGAACGCGAAATCCGCCGCCAGGTGGTCCATATTTGGCGCTGTGCCAACTGGTTCACGCGGCGGGCTTCATCCTCGCCCGTGATATGCGCTGCAATTGCCTGATATGGTCATAAGGCCTTCACGGGTCGACCGGCGCAACCCACGGCGACCTTATTGGACATTTCAGGCGGCTCAGCGATACTGCACTGAAGCGTGCATTAATTTCAACCGCAAAGACCATCTGTGTCCAAATCCCACCACAGCGGCGCCGCGAAGTCACCATCAAATCAGACCACAACTTGGACGTCGTTCTCGATGTGGATCAAATGGTCAGGGATGCGGACGTTATCGGGACTTTATTCGTCGCCAACAAGAGAGTGTGCGTCCGACGACACGGTCCAGACGACAGGCAAGACGGTCCACGTCGCAAGTCAATTTCGGAAAAGCAGAAAATCTGAACGTGTTCCACCAGTTGTTTTACACATCAAGCCTCGCGCATGCTGTTGCCTGTGACGCCTTTAAGCAAACAAGCGGTAAAAACGCAACGCCTCATTACGGCGAATTAGAACGTTTGTTGGGGTGGAGACTCCGGGTTGGTGTTCCCGGGTAAATGCGAATTTAAATAGAAATAAAATCACGCTATTAAACCCGTATGTTCTTCATGCGTTATCCCTTCATGTCAGCGTACATACTGACCGCGCTTTGGCTACTGTAACAGAGCATGCAACATCACTTTCTACTCAGCACTTACATGCTGACGCTTTCTTAACTCAGACATGATTCGGCTGCATAGCAACTCCCCACTGAGACTCTTTTGGTCCTCCTCGCGAGAATTCCACCCGATTGGGAACGCCTGTCCGTATACCGACCCACACCGCTCCAATAAAACATCAGTCGATCCTCCTCAATGACATTAAATCCCAGGCAACTCAGCAGTTTCAGCAAATCAGCTAAACGTCCGGAAGCGCTGAAATAGTCTTCCAAGAACGACAAAAGTTACATCCGCTTACTCCACATCGGGACAACTGCTTGTTCCAGTTTGCTGGAGGGGAAGATTGCGCTCCTGATGAGCACTTCTTTACGGGCGGGAGCACAGCTCGAGCGAGTGGTATGGCTCGTGCCTCACAGACTCATATCCCAGCAACCAATGATCGAGGCCACGGGGAATGCAGGAGGGCGCGATGACCACAGCCCACTTCATAACACACAAAATAATAACCTGTGACGCGCTAAACTCATAAGTTGAGCGCGTCACAGGCGAGCAAATTTTTTGCTTAACTTATATCAACCTTGTGTGCTTTACAACATAATTATTCCCACGTGTCTGCCTATATCGTTTATTTGCGGACGTTTAATCGCATACATTACCCAACGTAGATAGGCAGAGGCATGCAAAACCACGATAGAGGGAGCCCGTGCCCCTGTACCCAGGCAAGCGCTGTTAGGCCTAATGACCGTCACATATCTCTAGTCCATCAGAAAGGGTGCCTGCAATTCCCAACTCACGACAAAGCTGGGGACCACGGATCGAGGACAGATCCAAATATCGACAACGAAGTTTCGAAGCGAAGTGAGCCCAATCCCGGCGAACGAGATGACAGCCAATCGTATTGGTGGCAGCGCGGGGCGATGTGTTGCGGTGTGGACGACGGCACCTACACGCTGACCGCGAGGGCTGCAAATCATCAGGCGACCTTTATCCTGTCCCATCCATAGGCGCACCGTGTGAGATGAGAAGCAGAGGCAGGTATCAGTATAGCACGCCGTTGCTCGACTGGACAGAAATTTGGCCATGCAAACTAAATAAGCGCAGTGCCGAGCTTACCGCCGCCAATGGGTACCCCATCCCAATCTCTGTCACCGGAACTGTTAACTTTTCCGAATTCGTCCGACACGTCGATCACAGATGTCAGGACTTGGCATTCCCATTCAGACAATATTCCAGCAGTCAATAGGAACTGTGCGCGGACGCTACACATCCATCCATCTCTGCTTCCCAAACTCTTGAAAGGAGCACAGTGCAATGCATTGACAAGTCCCATTGGTATGCGTTCATAAAGGCTTCGAGCTCCATTCGCGTATGTTGCCGGTCGTTTACATCACATTGTAGCCATCTTTATTAGCACCTCGTTGGTCTCGAAGTCACAAGAGGCGTCTCGCTAGTGTTAAAAGCCACTGTGATTTTCATTGCCTCACATAAGGCGAGGAGGATTTCCCTGAATCATCTGGTGGGCCGATTCCCCTGGTTTCTGGAATCTGGTCGTCAGGGGCTCTGATCTCGGTGGTAACCGTCTTCACTACCAATTTCATTTTACGGTACATTATGAACTTGCCCTGCAATAGGCATGATTGACAGAAAGTAGATGATTGACAGATTGCAGATTTGCAACGACTACTGATGCACGAAATCACAGGAAATGAATGAGAATCTCTCGCCGTTGGTAACTGCTTGTCGTGCTATATGACAACCTGATATTACCATATCCTAAAAGGCCGTCTAGAACATTGTATGATATTCACGAGTGCTCTAATACATTTTGGGTCCAGCCAGTTTCATAATGCGAAAGTACAGCTAAAACTATCCGTACAGCCCACAGTGTGTAGTGACAGGTTGACAAAGTCTCAACGTCAGTCAAATACTTATATTTCAAAACCATACATACACATAGCGATGCTGAGCAACGCACTTCCGGCCTTTATGCATACAAGGTACGGTTTAAACCGGCATAACCGTAATTTCGCTCCGCACGACTGTACAATGAGCGGGATATCCCTGTTCACGTGGCCAGTACATTCACATTTCCCTATTGTACATTTACAAGTACACTTGTTGTTATCATTTCCCTAATGTACATACAAGTACATTTCCCGATTGATATCCATCCCAATGTCCGACAGCGTGCGGCGCCATCAGCACGGGGTCGTGCCATGCTCGTTAGCGACATTCTTAACATCGCCCTATTAATTAATGCCGGCCACGCTAGCATGCCATCGGGACACAGCTTTCACGCGGTGAAGGTCCTGCCTTCGCGTACCAAAGGACAGCTTTTCGCTAGCTTATTAAATTATGCTAGACATCTTTGAAACTACATTTTAAACCACTTAGTACTCGTAATTATGCCAACCGTTTTGTGCCATTTCTGACTTTTGCACAATCTCGATACCCATCAAGACATTTCGCGTCATTATTGAGTCTATACGCATCCAAGCACCCATAGTATTTCCACGTCCGTCCTTAATCCTTTTTTGACAGGTGGGACCTGCGGACGCTTGGGAAGTGAATAGGGTATGGAATGGGGCATGTCCACTCTACAAAGCGTGTTTTGCTCTCCACTCTAGCACGTGGTTAACCCTTGTCGAATGAGTCGTCGGACGAAGCCGTCTGGGGTTTTCTTGAATAACTTGACAACCATTAAGGAAATTATGCTGATTTTCCGGTAGCTGAATAAGCTTACCAATGCTGCCAATTTTTAGCACTTTTTCACAGTCTGTCGTGATCGATGACGAGGGCCGTCACTTTCTAAGATCAGTTGTGAGGGGGAAGGGGCTGAGCCAATAAAGCTAAATTAACCTGCCTCCCCTCAAATCCTGATTTCTCCCCTAGTTTCGGCTATTTTGATTGGCATCACTAATGGCAAACTTAAACAACGTGGTCGGTTCCAAAATCGTTCCGATGTTGTGGAATGACTTTCCATTCACAGCCAATGCGACCGGCACAATGATACATGACGATGGTGATATTGATAGTGATGCGTTAAGATACCTCGTGGACCAGCAGATCAGCTGCTTGCTGCATTTCATTGGCTCAGTATTCGCCTTTTTCTCGTACGCATTGGGGGGGGGGGGGGGAGGGGGGCTCAGTAGAGCATGAGAAGGGCTCAAGCCAGCACCAAGAGGGGGCTCAGACCACCTCGAAAGTATACAAAGTGACAACCCTGCCTACGACTCACTTGTGAAAGTCATGTCAGTCATGTTTCTTGCCAAATCGAGAACATAGCTCACTTTATAGCAACTGGGACATGTTCTCTTTCTGTTCTATAAACACAATATTTCTACATCAGTGACATCAGACCTGATTGCGTGCGTCTAGGGGTGAGCAGGTCAGGTCATTAAAGGACAAGCAAGGTCAAATATGTCAAACTGTTCTTTTTGTGGGTGTCATGCAAGAATGTTGTGTCATGATCACACCGCATCAGCACTATTTGGACGAAAACTGTGCCACCCGTTGTTGTGAACTTCTTGGACCACGGCCTCGCCTTGTCAAACAAATGCAAACAGATACCCGAGAACCTGTTGACATTGTTTGCGCTGTTGTTGGCACACAGATGTTGCATTGGTAACTGCTCATTTTTCAACCCTCTTTGCTTATGGGCACTCGCATGCAAGTCACACTAATCTTCCAAGTGTCCAGCAACGTCATGAACTTTGTTTCTGCCCGCATGCCACATTTGAGCTGTCCCGCCGCCACTTGTGATTGCAGTTGCAATATGTGCCTGGTGCAGGTTGTGTGCGCTCGTTCAATGCTGCTTTTTATTCTGTAATATCCGCCTCATGATTTTTGTTGGAAAACATTTTAAGACTACCTGAGATGCCGCCAAGCACATTGCTAGTCGTCAGGGACGAAGCCTGCGGACGTCGTTCGTTGTCGTCATTGCTGAGTGACGTCGTCGAGTGACGTCATCGTCTGACGTCGTCGAGTGACGTCGAGTGACTCAACGAGGCGCGGACACGATAAAATCACATAGCGTAGAGTGAAAAAGGCACCACATTGATGCAGAGAGTCCTGTCGGCTGCACGCAACCGGTAGCCAACTGGTTGCAATGGGTGGCAAACGTGTGCCCCAAATTGACCCAACAGACAGGAAGCGCAATTGAACAGCTTAAATGACGATCATTGCATCGTTTTTCTCCTTCACCATAACTCGTTCCGCATGCCAGATACCGGTATTGAAACTATGCATCATGCAATCCAATGAACATTTCGGCTGTGGTGATGTTTTCGTGGCCTGAAAGGTCCGCCCGGACTCGAATCGCGACCATTTTTAGAACCGGAAGAAGGCAACAGGTACACTGGTGCTTACAAACTTACTTTTGGTTTTCGTGGCTTGGAAATAATCCTGCTTAGAGCATTTGTATCACTTCCGACAATGTTCCTCTACTCATCATCGTCGCCTGGGGGTCACCTACTGACCAATAATAATAACACAGATATTCATGGAAAGCTTAGATCACTATTGCCCCGCCGGTTTTCGGTCGATGCCCTACTGTCTTACTTCAAGAATCGGCATGGGATTCTGTCAAGCTCCCATCCCCGGGTAAGGTCGTTAACATGGCTCTTTCGGGCGAGGTTCTACCGTAGTTTTCCTGGAGAGATGAACGTGGGCATAAGCCCACGTACAGCATGTCTTAGGGACATCTGTTGACTCCTGGCAATTTGAAAACCGTACGGGAGCTGCGCACTCGCCTACGACGCCTGATACTCGCCCGCCGGGTGTCATGAACGTGTGGGGAGCTGGATTAGTGAGAGTCGCGACGCCTCTGTCTCTATCCGATTGACGGGCTGTCCCGCGAACGCGCTGAACCCGTCGGGTGATATGGTCTGACCTGTCCACTGCCAGCCAGGACCATGACAAAACCACTGCGTCGGTGCCCCCAGGTGCACGCCTTTGTGCGTCTTCATACTCAATAATAATAGTTTTCCTACACATTTCTGTCGTAAGAGACACGAAATAATAAAACCCATTGGAGGCAACCCTCGTTCTGCCGTCATGTCTTCAAAATGTTTCCCCGTCAGAAGTAGAGGAGACAGGTGAGGACACTGGGCTTTTGAAATGCACTTCTACAGAATAAATACGGCAGTGACGAGTCTCGGTCCGCGATTGAAGCTGTGTACGCGGATGGCTTACGACCCTACGACGCCCCATAGATGTACGCGTTGCACGTGATTACAACGCGCTCGCACACGGACCGGACGCCACTGACGACTCGGCTATACCGCCACCCAAGGAAGCTGTGACGAACAAGGAGGCTCACGGGCGGCAGGGGGTTAGAGATTTTTGTATATGCCATTTTCCGTTTCCAGTTATGCTCAGATACCATTGCTCCGCCCACTTCCAAAACATTTCTTTGGGTAGAAAACGCAGGCATTTCCTCTTATTATTGTCGTCATTAGGGTTTACGATGCACTTAGTTGCTGGGGCTATATGGCGTCGCCTGCCTCTCACCCAGGCAGGAAGGGCGGGCGCCGCCGGAAATCGAACCCCGTGCCACCAGTCTGTTGCTCGTGAGTTCCGAACACTGTCCGTTTACGCACGCACGGAATCATTGTTCAGACTACCGTCTTCGTCTGGTGTGTTAGGATGTATGTAACATTAAACATTAACATTACAATGTTACGTACGTAACATTTTGAACACCATCCCATACTTCCCAGGACTCCCGGCAACGGTAAAAAAATAACTGACCGAAACGTTGGGTGCGTTAAGATTGCTACACCAGACAAGAGCGATGGTCCCAACAATTTGACTTCCGCAATACTGACACCTCACTCAGCCATTCCGTAAAGCTGTCAGGGTACATTTTACTCACTCTGATAGAGGGTGCTGGACTACACTCATCACAAAGCATTCTGTTCAGTTCTGTATTGCCTGCTGCACATTTCCCAATATGCTTTTTACAGCCTTCTGCTCCGCAAGACGGCAATTGACTGGCAGCAGCCTGAAAACAGCCCGCAAGCTGTGAAAACGGCCATCTCACACCACAGTGCAGCCGCCTCGACGGCTTTCAAGCCCGCCATCTCCAGCCGCCGCAAGTCACACCACCTACCAAGCCGCTCCCAACAACGCACGGAAAATATCACTGTTTATTGGGCGGCGGGAGGACCGAGCCGCGGCGAGCACGTCGCCTGCTCGGGCGCCCCCTGGCGCGAGATCTTCGTCACACTGGCGCGCGTCAGCAGCGGTGGTTACAGTAAGCGGGTAGCTGGGACGCACGCGACCGGTCCGGCGGCCGGCGCGCCGCGGGCGCCGCCGGGACTGCTGTGTAGGCACTGGTGTATGAACGGTTGGGCGAACGGGTGGAACTGAATAACGAATAGCGCAAGTCGCCCACGCAGGTAACGGCACCACTCTATGGCGTGAGGAGGCGGGGGGGGGGGGGGGGGGATGGGAGGGGAGGGGGCTGGGGAAGCCGAGGCGCAATCAGGCTGGACACGGCCGACACTACAACGCACCTCCTGGCGGGCACTCCCCGGCCGCCTATTCAACGACGGCCCACAGAGCCGGGCGGCGGCGAAAGGCGCCGTCAGCACACACCCTACACTCAAAGCACGACAAGCCTCACTCCCCGGGCCTGTCACGCGCAGGCGACGGCCGCCGGCGCGGCAGTCGGCGGCCGACCTGCCGGCGGGCGCGACCCAGAACACGGCAGACGCGCCGGCCCCACGCAGCCGCCGGGCGCCGCCGACCGCCGCCGGCAGGAGGTAGTCCGTGGCTTGGTAACAAACCGCGAGAGCCGCGGCGGCGCGACACCCCGCGCCGGCCACAGGCCAGCGCGTCGCCTCGCCGACACGCCACATTCCATCCCTAGACTAACTCTAACCAGCGCGGCGGCCATCGTCGGCTCACAGGCCGGCCGGCGGACGGGGCGCGCCGCCGCGACGCCCCCGGCGGGCGCCGGACGTCGCCGGTCCGCGCCCGCCGCCGGCCGCCACCCTCTAACCAATATTGATGCGTCCGCAGACAAGCGCGAGGGCCGCCGACTAGAGCCGCCACCAGCCGGTCTTTTTTTGTACTTTTCTGGTTGGTGGCGGCCCCGGTGGCCACCGCGGTCCAATGGTGTTGGCTAGCGGGTGTGGGCGCCCGGTCACACCTCCTCCGGCTGGTACAGGGTCACCGACGCCAGGTGACCGTTGCTCATCACCTGTCAGACAACAGACACGATCGACGCTTAGTAGGTGACTCGCTGCGAGATACATGGCTGATGCAGCACGCACCTTGTTGGTATCTCCCTTCGGCGTTAAAGAAAATGCTTGGTGACCGGAAAAGTTGCGGGCAACATCGCACCTGACGCAGTCTTATGGAATGTCAGTCGGGTGTTACTTTCAAAAGGTCAAGCCAATCACATAACATGCACGCCAGAGTGGTCGACCGGAGGGAGATGGGCTCACAGTCCAGCGGTGGCGTAAGGCAGAGTGGTGGGCCACATGTCCAGAGGCTGACGATAGAAACAGTGACGGCACACGGGGCGGACGGTAGCAGACAGTGCGGCATCGGACGGAGCGGGCCCTCAGGCCGGCACGACAGACGCCGCCTCCGGCAGCCGCCCGCCGACGGCGACCAGACCGCGCCCCCGTCCCCGCCCCCTCCTCCGCCGGCGCACGTACGCCAATCGGGCCGAAATTGGGTGCGTAGGCGGCCGTCCGGCGCCCCAGCCGGTCACGTATGGACAGCGGCAGGCAGCATCGACCGGCCGTTCAGCTGACACCGGGCGAGGGAGGCGCGGGTTCGGCTGACACCCGGCGAGGAGGGGGCGGGCTCAGCTGACACCGAGCGAGGGGGCGCGGGTTCGGCTGACACCGGACGAGGAGGGCGCGGATTCGGCTGACACCGGGCGAGGAGGGCGCGGGTTCGGCTGACACCGGGCGAGGAGGGCGCGGGTTCGGCTGACACTGGGCGAGGAGGGCGCGGGTTCGGCTGACACCGGGCGAGGAGGGCGCGGGTTCAGCTGACACCGGGCGAGGAGGACGCGGCACCGGCCGACTGCGGCCGGCGGGCGGAGGAGGACGCGCCGCTCGCGCCACCGCAAGACACGGCGGCGAACAGCGACGAGCCCGTGACGTCAAACCGACCTCGCAGCGCGCCGCTCCGGGACGGAAGGCGACGAAATAATACCGCACTGGGTGCTGACGGGAATGCAAACATGGCGCGAAAAACGCCTGCCAGTCCGAGCGGTCAATACAAATGTATGCCTTCCCGCGGAACATAAAAAGCAGCATGATACGTATTGAACAAAGCTCGTTACAGGTCTTGCTACAGCTGCCACAGAGAAACACTGCGCTACCACGACCCGCAACGGAAGAAGCCACAATAACGGGACTCCCACGCGGACAACCGAGCCGGAGCTATCCATCCCTATTATATAAATGGGCTGAGACGAGAGGGCAGGTGAGGCATCCTGCCACATGGACGCTCCTGCACATTATCACTCCGTGGTTTAAAGTGCTCCCTTACGCCACGTGCACCACTCGATCCAGACCATGGAGGTGGAAGTTTAACACCACGGCCGGGACTGAGCAGCGCGCCAGTTTGGGTGCCACGTTATTTTAAAGATTTGATCCGAACCCTTTGAATGGCTGGATTTCACGGATCAGAGTTTACGCTAAGCAGTGCTTGTTGTGTGAGCCCTGACCTCCACCACCCGATCGCGCAATTCCATGTCAACGGCAGCATTTGGTGGCGAAAGCTGAGCGTGCCGCAATGCTTGGCACGGTCCGTCCTGCCCTCTAACTTCAACTGGCCTTCAGCGCGACCGCTGCCACCGGCCGCAGGCCATACCTGTCAAGGGCAAATAGCGGGCGCCCTAAAGCGACTCGACCCCCCCCCCCCAAAGGTGGGTGGATCGGAAGACAGGCGCTCTAATCAACTGAGCCACTGGGACGAACGTTGATGTAGACAGTTACGTAAATCGTAGAATCCACCGAGCCATAAGCTCTTTGGACGGAACATTTCTTGATTAGTTCTCGTGGAGCCCACTTCCCATGTCCATCAGCAATTAACTATCAGTGGTCTTCCAGGGGCCCCGCAACACCACCGTCATCATCGTCATCACCATCATCATCATCATCATCATCATCATCATCTTCGTCATCATCATTCTCACCAAAGGCTTTAGGCATGCATCCTGTGGACTGGCACCCTACCCTCCTCCGCATGCTGACCTCAGTTCGCAGCACGGTATAATATGCTTTCGTAGACCGGCACCGCCTCCCACTGTGGGACGGCAAGATCACCGAAACGGGCACTCCGATCCGATAACACGCTGGCGACAGAACTCCCGATTCAACGGCACAGGAGATCGCACCTCTCCTCCCAAACCGACCCTCCTCCATCCCCTCCCAACGCACGACTCCTCTCCCGCACCGTCGCGAGGACCACGACTGCCAACGCCCCGCGTCCCTCCTCGCCGGCGCGCGTCGCCGCCGGTCCGTCGCGCGCGACCGCGACCGTCATTTACCTCGCAGATGAAGTCCTCGACGCCGTAACAGAGCGTGGAGCCGAAAGGGTTGCTGGTGTTGGTAGTGGAGGCGCGGTTGAGCACCACCGGCCGGCTGGAGGGCTTCAGCGCGCCGCACACCTCATCCCACTTGGTGTGCGCCCGGATCTGCGGAGACCGACGCCGGGTCATCGTGAGGTCACGGCGGGGTCACTGCCGGTCGCCGCCCGTCGCCAGACACGGTCTACGTCTGGGACCGGATGACCGGCGGCCCCAGCCAGGGGTCACAGCACCACCCCGGTAAAGCGACATGACCCCGGGGATGGAGACGACCCAAGGCCAGGAGTATAAGGACGCGGATCTCGGCCAGGACACGGACCACGGCTCGAGCGTTGACCTGCGTCGGGACAGTGATCCGGCTTAGCGATGGGGCTGGACCGAACTGAACCCAGAGCAGTACTAAGCCTGGACTGACCCGCCTTGCGCCTGCACCCCAGCTGCGCTCGACCATGCTGACCCCGCAGCGGGTCCCATGGGCTCCGCTCCAGGGCAGGGCAGAACGGATTCCTCTCTTCGAGGCTGCCGGACACGTGCGGCCGGAGCAGGCGCAGCTGACGCCCCACACGGACGCCAGCGCGGGGGTGAGCGTGACCTGCGCGCCGGCCGATGTACACGGACCCCCAGAGAAAACAGCTGACCTGTCACACCAAACAAAAACACCACAACCGCACGCTGAGCACTCGATCAGTTAACACAGCTATCTACGGTGATTTTTCCTGCATTTCGCCGTTTTCCGAGTAATCTTGTAATCCACATGTCATCACTCGACCGCGGCGTCGCCGCACCGCTGTCGCTCACTTCATCGTCACGAATCCTGTTCCGCTAAACAATGACACTGCCCACTTTACCACCTCCCTAATGCCATTAATGCCCTTACAATGTAACCTTAGCATTGATGTCACCACCTTGGAACCAAATGGCTGGATGTGAGCCACTCCTCCACCTCCCGTTTTCAGACCGATGCCGCACCGAGGCCAGGCATCAGATGGAAGGGGTGACCTGGAGCGGTAACACTGGTGTACCGAGGCTAGACATCAGATGGAAGGGGTGACATGAAGCGGTAACACTGGTGTACCGAGGCTAGACATCAGATGGAAGGGGTGACCTGAAGCGGTAACACTGGTGTACCGAGGCTAGGCATCAGATGGAAGGGGTGACCTGGAGCGGTAACACTGGTGTACCGAGGCTAGACATCAGATGGAAGGGGTGACCTGGAGCGGTAACACTGGTGTACCGAGGCTAGACATCAGATGGAAGGGGTGACCTGGAGCGGTAACACTGGTGTACCGAGGCTAGACATCAGATGGAAGGGGTGACCTGGAGCGGTAACACTGGTGTACCGATGCCAGGCATCAGATGGAAGGGGTGACCTGGAGCGGTAACACTGGTGTACCGAGGCTAGACATCAGATGGAAGGGGTGACCTGGAGCGGTAACAATGGTGTACCGATGCCAGGCATCAGATGGAAGGGGTACCCCGGAGCAGCAATCCTGCGCATGTATTGTACCTACTAGTCGAGGAGAGGGGGAGGAGTAGGGGGGGGGGGGGAGGGGGCGTCTACATACACACTGCCATCTCTCACAAGCGGCAGAATATTGGAAAAGTTCGGCATATTCATCTTCGACCTGGCAAGTACATACACGATGAGAAGTTCCGGGAAGAAGTTTAGAAGGGTAGAGTTAAACATACATGTGGAAAAAGCTAACCAACCCGCAAAAAACAAAACAGACAAGTTAAACGGGCCGCTGGCGCGCAACGCAAATCAAACAACAAAGCTCGAGCAGACTACAATGTGTGTCTTATGCAAATGTTAGACTTAACAATGTCGAGCATACCCCTGGGGCTTTTACCCGCTGCGAATTCGAGGTATGAAAGAATCCTCCTCCCACGCAAGAGCGAAGACTATGCTTTGATTAGTGGAACATTTAAGCGACATGTCCAGAGTACGCCTATTCCATCTTATGACTACTAGTCGCCTCCCCAGTAACTCGATGCCCCACACGCATATCAGCGCCCGGGGAAACCATCAGCGAAAACGGCGCCCAGTGCGGGGCGAGCGAGCTAGAAACGATACCAATCGTCGGGGGCGTCACTGCAGGCGCCGACTGACCCGGCCCGCGCTGAGCCACAACTGCCCGCGCCGCTTCAGCTCCAGCGACCTAAAACAGCGTTCGGCAGGAGCTCCTCACGCCTTCAGCAGCGGCGCTCTGAGACCTGAGTCCCGCTCCTCTGCGCTGACTGTTCAACACTCGGAGCCGGGCTCTGACGGCCGTCCCCCCGTCTGTGTCGCCAGATCACACTCGGAGCCGGGCTCTGACGGCCGTCCCTCCGTCTGTGTCGTCAGATCACACTCGGAGCCGGGCTATGACCGTCCACCCCCTCGTCTGTGTTGCCAGATCACACTCGGAGCCGGGCTCTGACCGTCCATCCCCTCGTCTGTGTTGCCAGATCACACTCGGAGCCGGGCTCTGACGGCCGTCCCTCCGTCTGTGTTGCCAGATCACACTCGGAGCCGGGCTCTGACGGCCGTCCCTCCGTCTGTGTCGCCAGATCACACTCGGAGCCGGGCTCTGACCGTCCATCCCCTCGTCTGTGTTGCCAGATCACACTCGCGGCCGGGCTCTGACAACCGTCCCGGTCGACGCCCGCTACTTACGTGCACGCCCTCGGAGGCCGAGTTCATCAGCGACGCGTGCGGCTCCACGGCCAGGTCGAAATTACACCTGTGATACCTGCCGGCAGCGTCGTCCACGTCAGTCGCTCATAACCGCCTCGGATCGGATTCGATGCCCGGCGCGAGGCAACGCTCCGAACAATGGCGCAAACTTCCCCAGCTGACGTCAGAGGGCCGAAATCGTATCGAACGCCGTGGTATATATGCACCGGTGCCAGCGGGGACGGCTGATGCGAAGCTCTCCGCCACGTCGGAGCGACCGACCCACGCACCGGGACCACTTTAGGAAGACTACGGCGGGCTAATTATGGAGCCAATGGCGGGTTACCGCGCGACAATGGCGAAGGGACGGAAATGGCCACAGATTCGCGGAATATGAGGCCCGTCGGGCTGGCGGATGTGACGCGCGCACGGGCTCGGCGCACGTGTTACACGGGGATGGAGATGGGACGCATCAGCGCGTCAGCACGTGCTCCCTGAAGGCGTAGGCGGCCCGAAACTAAGCTTCCTAGGGATGTGGACGGTCCGACAATGTGCTCCCTGATATGCCCCCTGGGGACGTGGACGACCCGATAGTGTGTTCCCTGGGGACGTGGACAGCCCGATGATGTGCTCGCTAGGGATGTGGACAGCCCAACAATGTGCCCCCCCCCCCCCTGGGAACATGGACGACCCGAAAATGAGCACCCTGGGACGTGTACAAGCTGGCGGGGGCGGCAGTGTGCCCCCCCCCCCCCCCTCCCCCACACACAAACACGTCGGCGGTCGGCGCGGGCGGCCGAGCGTCGCTGGCGGCTGGCAGGGAGCGGGCAGTGTCATCCCCCGTCCATCGGCTCGGGTGGGTCTGGCCACTGTTCGTCTCTGGCGGCCGCACCACCCCTCTGGGAACGCCACACGAGCACGGTACGCGACCGGCTGCCGACCGCAGATAACGGCGAGCCATCCCACGCACACGCCAACCCCCGACAGTCCACACAGCAGCCACGCACGCTCACAGTCCACACAGCAGCCACGCACGCTCACAATCCACACAGCAGCCACGCACGCTCACAGTCCACAAAGCAGCCACGTACGCTCACAGTCCACACAGCAGCCACGCACGCTCACAGTCCACACAGCAGCCACGCACGCTCACAGTCCACACAGCAGCCACGCACGCTCACAGACAAACGACCGCTGCCTCGCATTGTCAGCCTCGTTCGCCCGGCGGCGCACAGCGGCAACGCTGATATGAAAACCCTGACTCTTGGTTTTTGGGGTGGGGATTAGAGCCCCTTCGACCAGAAATGATCATTTCAGGGCTATGGGATGAAGGACAATGGTTAACGGTGGGGCAGACTTACATGCGCCTAGAGGGCCGACCGCCTAGCTTTAAGCCGCACATGCGCGCTGGGTACCCGGTGGGGGTCCCCTTCCCACGGGGTACTAGGCCCACTCGTTGCTAACGCATGCAGCCTGCCCCGGACAAGCGGGGTGTCGCGAGGACGCAGGACAAAGCAAGACAGTGGAAAGAGGGACCGAAAACCCTGACTCAATGTATACACAGAGAGCACGTGTGACCCAGACACCAGTAGAAAGTACAACCCATACTGACATACCGTTGATAAGGGCGCTGCACCGCAGCGTGCTTGGTGTGCCGCGATTGCCGTGGCAAGTAATTATGCTGGATAGTGGCCAAGCCAAAAAAGGAGAGGGAGACAAAGCACAACCATTCCACCTGCACCATATAAATATTATTATGACAAATTTATCCACCTCCGATTAAAAAAACTCAGTCGCGGCAAGATGAACTATTAACAAACTTGCTGATGGTGCATCTTATTCAACGGTGACTTACATGTTGAAGTTGTAATGCCCGGGAAAGTTCGTATGTAGAAGGATCTTTTTCGCCCTATGGGTTCTTGCGTCGAACAAAATGTCCTGGGAAAAAGGGAAGGCATCATCAAATGACATCTCCACCATTGGCAAGAGAAGTTCTGAGGCATTCAGAAGCACGCCTTGAGCTGGATACATTCTAAAGCGCGGGGCGGCAAAATAAACCGAGAGCCGATGATGACGAAAAAACAAAAAGCTTTCAACACTTCCACGACAAACCAGACTATGACACTGAGGTCTTCAGAGCAATTCCGATAAGTCTGTAACCGTCCCAAAGCGGGAGATCTTTTCGGAAAAGAATCCAACGGAAGCAAACATTGTTAAATATCACAGCTTGCATACATCCACGTGAGCGAAACAACCCCACACCGAAAAGTGCCTTGACACCTTTTGAAAGTCTCACATGCACTTAAAACATCGGGGAAGCGGCCTTGTTGAGACCGTTCGGTCACACACAAGAGCAGAGCCATAACATACGCGGGTCTGACGGGCCCAACCTGGAATTGCACGAGGAAACCCAGCAAACAAAAAGGAACCGGAAGACGACGTGACCCCAGACCCGAACATCCAGTCCATGCCGCCATCCCCGCGTGCTGGCGACTGCGGGTAGCGTGGCGTTGCCACACCGCTGCGGTCTCTCGCCCGCAGGCAGCAGGCGGGCCGGTCAGGCGGCCGCGCCGAGTCCCACGCGCGGACACTCGCCAGGCGCCTGGTCCCGTCCCGCAGCCGGCCGCCGGCAGGCACAGGGGAGACGCGTGCCCCAGATGCCCCCTTCCCGCTTCTCCAGACTGCCCAAGCCAGGGCTGAGGTCGCGCGGCGGCCCACTCACCATGCCCAGGGTGAAGTAGTTGAAGAAGAAGTCGGACCGCCGGGACGCCGCGCGCTTGTGCGCGAACGGGCTATGGATCTTCATCTTGTCCTCGGACTTGTAGAACACCTTGGTAGGCGCGCCGAGCAGCGAGGTCACGTCCTGGCACGAGTCACCGAAGCGGATCTCGCGCACCAGTGTCTCCAGGCCGCCCTCCAGGCCCGGGTGCGAGTCGCCTGCCGCCGGCCGGGCGGGGGTCAAGGCTCCCAGCCGGGACAGAGGGCGCGGCCGGCGCCAGGAGTGACGGGCATACAAACTTGTCCTCCCACCGATGGCGACCGAACCCTCCCACCCATGGCGACCGGAGCCTCCCACCGATGGAGACCGGAGCCCCTCACCGAAGGCGACCGGACCCTCCCACCGATGGCGACCGGACCCTCCCACCCATGGTAACCGCACACATGCACGGCCACGGGAGCGACATGTGCAACAAAATCAATAACAGATGCATCCAAGGTGACAACTGACTACCGTTTTAGTTAGAACACTGCAAAACAGCGATAATGACAGAGTATACAACAAGATGCGTATCGATAAATGGGATGCACTCCTACGATAACAGCAGCGGTAACGATATTATACAACGGTAACTATGCACACAGTCAGGAGAGGTGCAGTGACATGTCAGCGCGTTCAAACAAAACACCCATGGTAACAACGTCAATAATCAGAAGCATCACTCAAACGTGAATGCACATGACAAGGAGAAACTGACGAGAAATCACTCACCGGCGGCGAACAGCCGAAGCCGTACCCCGATGGTGACGTCATCGGATCGTATGACGTCACACTTCTCTGTGTAGACCTGTCCGCTGAAGCACGACACGGGCATAGGAGGTGCCTGCCGGAATCAGCGCGATGTTTAGTCTTGAGATGTATCGGAGCGATCTCTCAGCCCAGACGCCTGTTATGACGTCATCCTGACAAACACGAAAACCACAAGGACTCCGCGGGCACCACGCTTGGAGCAGCGGTTCTGGTGGACAGGCACACGTGTTGCCCCCCCCCCCCCCCTTCCTCGATCTCAATGCACGAAGTCTCTCTTACGCAAGGGGGGGGGGGGGGGCGGAGCAACTGCGCGTCCCAGTGAGTGGCGCAGATGGAAGAAACAAGTGACGGGTCTGCCGCAACACAATAACGACAATTCATGTGATCTTTATCCATGAAGGTACAGGACGGGGTCATAAGCGTCGCAATACAGGATGGAAGCCGGTTTACTGAAAGCTTCCCGCCGCGGGAATCAAGCCCACGCTTCTCAGTCCACGGTCAAGCGCAGCAGCCCGTCGGCTATCGGTGGCCACCGCCGCCGCTCACCTCTGTACCCGTGCGGCTGCTGCCGCTGTAGATGCTCATGCTGGAGACGAGCGGCGAGCCTCCCCCAGGGAACTGCAGCGAGCCGAGGCCGCCGGCGAACCGAGGCTGAAACAGCCGAGCCGACGTCAGGCACCTGAACGGCGCGGACGGCAGTCTGCTCGCGTGACGCCGCCGCCGCCGCCGCGGATAGACCCGCGTCAGCTAGACGCAGGATTGCGCTTGGTTCCACTTGGGTGCGATCGATTCTGGGTTCGAATCAAAGCGAACGGAGCCGAATCCGAGTAAGATTTCAAGCAGCTGTTGGAAATTGGAATCGAATGCGAATCGGCCTCTGCAGCTGGTAAAAAAATTGAATCCAATGTCAAACTGTCCCTGCAGCTATTAAAAAAATTGAATCGAATGCCCATCCGTCTCTATCGTAGTTCAGGTTGGTGATTCTGATTTCGAATCAACTGTGAATCACCAACCAAGCTGCGATTTGGAAGGCCGGGGGGGGGGGGGGAGGGGGCTCGACAACCTTTCAGCACGATCCATCGCATAGTCACTGGGCAGCGAGCAAGTGGTACAGAAATTTTCAGCTCACATTTAACTTTAGCGCCTAGTGGGTCCTAGCTCAACCTGTGCAGTGCCGAGTCGAATGCGTTAACACCGTGGCGACTGTGGCTGAATCGGTTTGTGAGCTGGCTATTGTTAGGCGACAATGGATCCATTTTGATTTTGTCACAATCCATGTGAATCAACTCTCAACTGGGTTCAGCCGCGCAGCCAATGGAGCGGAATCCAATCAGATTCCGGCCAAAACATTGCGGCACTGAATTCGATTTCGCCGGAGTCAAGCACACGTCTCTCGCAATGGCGTGCGGCCATCACACTCGCGGGACAGGGAAGCCTGGCACCGGATCCTCGGGTTCCCGGAGGTCATTACACCGCAGCGCCAGGAGGTCCCCGAGGACCGGCCCGGGCTTCTGACGACCGAGATGGGGTTTCTGGCGGCGCGCGGGTCCCGTGGGCCCAGGTGTCGCTGTCCGCTGCCGGCGGATCCGCTCGCGGGCGAGCTGCGCAGGTGAAATGTGTTGCCAAGGTACGCCGACCGCTCGTCCTCTCGCCCGACTCTGACGCAGCGGGCATTCTGCCGCATAGCTTCTCTAACCATTTGATGTCAGCAAGAAAAGCGTTGAGCTCCTGGTTTGAGTTTTGACTTTGGAGGTCTTATACTGACATTCACCGACCTTCCAGATATCAGAACTCTATACACCAATTTATTCGCTTCGCGTCGCTATCAAGCAAACATCGGTATATTGTAAATTCACGAGTGTCAAGCGGTCCACGGCCAAAACCTGTCCGTACCGACGAACGCAGCTTGAAACTTCACGCAGTGACAATGGAAGCAATGCTCGCATGATAGCGTCATTTAATCAGTACCTCTCGACACATGGCAGGTCGACACCTGTCAGGACAACTTCTATAACCGTGCCAGGCAGTGGTAACGGCGACACTGACGGTCAGCCGAAAAGTAGTTCCTCAGGCGTCCGTATTACTCAGGGAACATAATCTGATGGGGCGAATGATGCACTCACCCCTCCCCCCCCCCCCCCAGGTAAGAGCCAGTTTCATCTATCTTAAGCGCGTGAAAATACACAAAAAAACATTGAGCTTTCAGCATTTCGACCACAACGACGCACTGTGTGACCGTTGCCGAGGTCAGCGAGCGACCGACGAGTAGCGAGTACCCGAGATCATCTCGAGGTCACCTCCAGGAGGCGCGCTAGCTGCCACCGACCGGGCTAGCAGGAAGCAAACACGTCAGCTGACGACCGGCCACGGCTCAGCTGACGACCGACCACAGCTCAGCTGACGACCGACCACAGCTCAGCTGACGACCGACCACAGCTCAGCTGACGACCGGCCACGGCTCAGCTGACGACCGGCCACGGCTCAGCTGACGACCGGCCACGGCTCAGCTGACGACCGGCCACGGCTCAGCTGACGACCGACCACGGCTCAGCTGACGACCAGCCACGGCTCAGCTGACGACCAGCCACGGCTCAGCTGACGACCGACCACGGCTCAGCTGACGACCGACCACGGCTCAGCTGACGACCGGCCACGGCTCAGCTGACGACCGGCCACGGCTCAGCTGACGACCGGCCACGGCTCAGCTGACGACCGACCACAGCTCAGCTGACGACCGGCCACGGCTCAGCTGACGACCGGCCACGGCTCAGCTGACGACCAGCCACGGCTCAGCTGACGACCAGCCACGGCTCAGCTGACACACGACAGACCGGCGACAGACGGACGGCGATCCTGCGTGGAGTCGGCTTGGCCCATCATCCAGCGACCCTCAGCACAGTATGCGCCTATTGCGTGATGCGTCGAACCACTCTTCACATATGAACATAGCTGGGCGAGAGATATTGTGAGCTAACAGCTGTTTCGACCAAATTTCGAACGAGGCCGCTTGGTCGCCGCTTTTTCATCGGATTGCGAGCTGGGAGCGGATCACCAGCTGGTGGCAGCGTGGACGTCACGGCACGGCACGGCACGAGGAAAACCATCCCGTCCTTGCGTCACTTTGTACAGCTCAGGGATCAAAGTCACCCAATCCGCTGAATGGAACTGGACTACAAAGGTGATGAGGTCGGGCTAATACAGCAACCCTGATTGCACAGCGAGCACTCCACGAAACCAGTTAAAACCGGCTGAACATTGCTTTTGATCTCAAGCCGATCTCTACAGCCAACTGAGAACAAACTGAAACATACATACAGATTATGACGAAGTCAGAGCAGGCTTCGGCAACAATTCGGGGAAATGAAAGCGGCAACAAACAGATTTTACGTGTATTTTACATACCAATGCCTCATAAACGCTTGTTTTGCTGGTTCGAAATGACCCCATCAAAAACAGCACGAATTCTTCAAACATCACGAATACGCGTAAATTCTTTCAACATTCGTGCGCCGGCTGAGGATGACAAACTCACAGGTTTTCTGACGAGCTTCTGGGCCGCACAGCATATCATTCCGAACCGTGACGAATTTCCATGAAAAGCTAGCTTCCAAGATGGACTACCTTTCCGAGACTTCGCCCGGTTCGGGTGCGGCACCAACGACTAAACACACCAGCGGTCAGGCGCGGAGGAAGTCCTTTGAAATTACAACATATAATCGAACAAAACAAGCCAGCGATGAAACGTGTGTGTGTGTGTTAATAGGACAAGATTCTCCTGACGAGATGCACCGCTCCATATTCGCCCTCATTTTAAATCACGCTGAGAACTTAATCCGGCGCGAAGATGACAAACATACTGATAATCCAAGACCAAAGCCAGGGAGACAGAACGAAAACTTGCCTTCACTCGAATAGTTTCGGATCTGATGGCCCATTCAAACTATGATTGCGAAGCAACACAACGCACTGTATACGGCAGCGAGTACCTCAATCCAGAGGAAAAGCAGCTCAGCGTGTTTCAGAAAACCGAAACATTGCCTCTGTTTTACCACCTTTACTGTCCTTTACTTTACCTTCCTTTTTAAATAATCACTTGACTTTGAGGGATAGCCGCTCCGGTCCCAAAGCTGGCTTAGCGCGCATCATGTCAAGAGGCCCCAATCCACGTCCGCTCCTCACTTTCGCCGCGTGGACTTTATCTGGCGCGAAGCTGACAAACATGGCGATAATTCGAGGTCAAATCCTGGAAAGCCCGGCAATACCTTGCCTTAAGTTGAGCAGTTTCAGGCATGACAACTCACTCAAAGCACGGCTGCGAAGTGGAACAGCACACAGCGCACAGCACACAGCAAGACGCACGAAAGACGGCAGACGCACATCTCAATGCGTGCTTCGGGCCCACTCGCCGGCTGTGAGTGGGCTATGGTGAGTCTACGCCTTAATCAAACGCACCATAAGTGCATTCGAAGACGACGTTCCGCAACAGCAAACAGAGCGGTGCCCCACGGCACAAGCGGGGACGGCTCCGCCCAGCCGAGACAGCGCAGATGGCAGTCCCGGCGCCGAAGTGGCGCCCTCGTGAACTGCAGCGCTCGCCCCGCAGGCGGCGGTCACGACCGATACCCCACCAGTGGCCCGGTGCCATTCGGCCCGTCACCGGTCCGGTGCCTCTCGCCTCCCTTACGAGCGCAGAAGCAGCGAGCTTTCCCCCGTCACCTGAATCTACACCAGCACGCGTCGTCCCATCGCCCGGCCGCTCCCCGTATCGTACCGGTTGCGTACGTCGCCTGATCGAACGTTCCATAGTTTATCCTGGCGCTTGTTCGACGTGATCGGCGCCGCCGGCTCCGGGCGGGACCAACGGCCCAAACTTGCTCTGCTCGCATCGTGCCCGGCGCTGCGCCATGTGACCTTTGGCTCTGGGCGCTACAGAAGCCGACAGTGCCAGCCTGCGCGGCGCATCGTGACACCAGGTCATCATGGAACGATGCAGCTGGCCGTCGCCGGTCCGCCATCACAACTCGACGATTGCGTACGGGGTGTCGCTGTTGGGAATCATGGTGCACCGCAGCACCCGTCGCGGAGGCTAGCGGCCCAATCTCCAGGGTCCTTCGCGGCAGGCTGGGGAAGAGTCGTGTTATATGGAGATTACTATCTGTTTTCGTTTTTGCTAGTGATTATCGACGAACGTGGCAGTGCGTTTGACGGGGAACATGAGCCCCGGCGCCCAACTGACGCAGAACCCGCTCAACGTACTATTTCGCCTCCGGCTTTGACGCCAGCCAGCATTACACAGGGACCATATTCGTACCGAGAACACTACAGGGCCGCTCGGCAACACGACCCGCTTCAGTGCCCGATCTACCGTCAGTGTCGCCCAGCCGACCGGGCCCGTCAGCGGAGTGCAGACAGACCGGCCGCTCAGCAACGGCAGCCGGCGACCCGGCGACCGGGCAGCCACATGATGGAGGCTTCCGCTCAATAGGGGTGCGCCGCGTGGCGAGCTCTACATCACTGCACATGCTAATAAATTATTCAGGAATTTCCACGTCACTGAATAATTCATTTCCTCACTTACCACCATGGAGTTCTTCGAGGCTAAAGATAGTGGATGGAAGTTATTAAACCAGGAATATCCCAGCAAAATTTATCAAAACACGGCTCAGTGCCCTCTGAAATACTGCGTGTGTTGAGGCTTCGTGAGAGGAAATAAGGTCTCACGCAGGGCGCATGCAGACCCGGGGCAATGTCTGCGAGTCGTGGCATAGCGCGCGACACGACTCGCAGACACGAACGCTGACAACTTCAGAGCCCTTCATCACCACCAACAGGCGTCAGGAGGCGCTTCTGGCGCGTGGGACGCACCGCAGACCGCCGCAGGCAAATGACAATTCAGCACCGCAAAGTCCTCACACCAGGCGGATAGCTGATGCACCTTGCTTAGTTTAAGCAAGCAACATTTTAAGCAAGCAACAATCCGGAACACCCTTTAAGTTGTTCCCGGCCCAGCTGCTCGCGCAGTGCGCGTGCTCAACTTTTGCAGCCATTTTCCTTGGGACCCAATTACCGAGGCCCGGAAGTCAGAGACGGGTGCGGTGATGGGCTTCAGGATAGATGTGTGACTGGGTGATGGGCTTCGATCGGATCCAGCCGGTAAGAGGCTGTAATTCGCGGGTGGGGCATGACCAAAAATTAGCACCCTCTATCACTGTCGCCAACGTACGGCTGCTAGGACGGTGCAAATTGACACGCGGATCGTGGCCCACCGATCAGTCTCGACGAGTCGTTATCTTGAGAGCCCCCGGGGACTTCAACCTATGGTATGCAGGGCGCTCGTGCTGAGCTGCACCCCCTATCATGGGAGGTCTCTACATTGGCAGCCATTGGCGATCAGTGCCAGGACGGGGCCTGCATGCACGTGTAACATATGGGACTCGGCTTCCTCCCGTCTCGGAAGTCATGGCCCACATAATCGAACTTCAAAGACGCAAAGGTGCTCACACAAGCCATTTAACCGTGGCCTATTCCATTTCTAGAGCGGCAATGGCGCGCACGCCGTGCGCGTGCCAGTCTTTTAAATCGCCATTAAGAGATTGGTGGCGATGCAATCATGAGTTTCAATTTTGAATCCAAGCCGATGGCGATGGTACCGATTTGCACCTGGGTGGCACGCACAAGTGATTACCCGAAAGGCACCTCGTGCGGAAGGTGACGAAAAACGTGAATTCGGTAATATTTGAGACTCGTCACCGGGACTTTACGGCGCACTAAGCCGCTGGGGCCACATGGCGTCGCCCGCCTCCCACACTGGCAGAGAGGTCGGACACGGCGGCGGCCACACACTTTTGGTTTCCCAGCCGCGCAGCGTAATATCTGACATTCAGAGAAGACCTTCCATACAAATGTGGGTACGTCAGCGAGGTTATTCAGATGCGCGCTGGGCGCACGTGGGGATCACCAGTTATCATCATGTGGCCTGAAGCCCAGGTACGTAATGAAGCCAGATGATATCGGGAACCCACAGCAATGTATTTCATCAATGCATAGGGAAGTCCTCTCTCATGAGGACTCAGAAAGCAACGGTGAAAATGCAGGATTCCCGCGCCACCTTCACGAAACCACATTGCTTTGAAATTGACTGTTACAGGTATAGCGGGTCTGGCCAGGCACTATCCTTTTAATCGACAAAGTCCACACATTGGGAGCGGTTTGCACTTTTGGTGACGGCGACCGCAGTATTGTGGAAACACGCCAATATTCGGCAAGGCGCTGTTCTCCATGGACTGGACTCAACACCCGTACAGTTTCCAAGGCCCCGTCCGCCTTGGTGCAGCCACAGGCTGTTGTATTTGAGACTGACCAGGAAGAATACGACAATGGCGATCTGTCGGGATTTTATTAGCGCAACTTTTGATCAGATCTTACTGGGATCACGTAGCAAATTGTACACGAAACATTGGCTTACACTGTGCGGTGGCTCGAGGTCTCTATCTGTTCTTGAGGCCTCTACCTGTTCCTGAGGCCTCTATCTGTTCTTGAGGCCTCTATTTGTTCTTGAGGCCTCTGTCCGAAGTGTAAAACCAATCATTAAACACGTCCCGAATCGGGCGTTGGCCGGTAGCTTGCGACCGCAAGCCCGCCACTGGTCGCACGCATCACTCGCACTTCCATCCACACGACTGCGCGATACTTTCTACATCAAAACGGGTAGCCTCGTGTCGCTGGGACGAGTCATGCAGTGTTTCTTCTTCTGATACGCTTCTTGTAAGTGTTCATACTTCTGAAGTGTTGCTCATGTTTCTCCCATCCCAGCCATGTTAAAACGACAAGAACGGGCTTTTAGTTGGGTGTGGCCTGGCGGCAGCGTGAAGAATGCCACAAATCTCTCGCTCGAGGATGTCTATGAAAGAGCGTGTGCTGTGCCGCGATGCGGTGTCAGCCCGTATCACGCGTGGAACGGCCGATAGCCTTTGAGTTGCCGAGCGTAACAGGGAGGTAGCCGGCCACGGCCTTGCCTTCTGGACTGCTTCCACATGGAACAGGTCCACTGCGGCAGTCGGGGACCGGCGGGCCCAGTGCCTGCATCCGGCGAGCTCGGCGATCGCTCCAACATACTGACGTGTGGCAGTATATCGTGAGCTTACACCCTAGTTCCGACTTGAGCTGCGCAGTTTTCCTGCCATTAGCAAGTGTTATATTTCCCACGTAAGTTGAATGGGAAGGGCTTTATTTTGCCCGCGATGCACAGAGACGACGTCTCACTTAACACAACAGCCCTCTGCGCAAATGTCTAAACATTACAGGCGCAGGTTTTGAGCAGCTGCATTTCTCGTAGGTGACAGCAGCGTGTAGCTGATATCGGTGCTTGCGAAGATGTTTACTTCTACAGAGCGTGACGGCCGAGGCGGGCCGGGTCGGACACCTCAGTTGAAAACTTCCTCACCGCCTGAGTCTGCCCTGCTCGGCCTGCAGTCTCGCTCATGATTACCGACCTGCCATCTACTGGGATCTGAACAAATTACACCGACAGAGCCTCTGTCAGTTGCCCAGGCTAAACGTGAGATCTATTCGACGCCATGTCATGCTGTGCTGAAGGAAGGCGCCTGTAAGTTCCCTCTTACGTGCGATAGCGCGCAAAAACACACGATAACTGAACCAGAGCACTCCCAGGTTACCTAGCCTTTCCAAGCTGTGGATCCCAGCAGGTCAGCTTGTTACCCGGCCACTTGGTTACGTAACAAGGTACCCGGGCCACGGGATCTCTTACGTCTTTCAGAATGACACCTAAATGTGCATTTATGGGCAAATGCATGAGTGCATCACATTTCACAATAAAAGCGTATTGTTGCCTGATCCCATGCACTACGCAGTGATCTTTTGGCTTAACATATCCACCAAAGAAACACTGCAAGTGAGCACCTTGCGAATTCAACGCCGCAAAGCGTAAGGAGCCATTCCTACGAAAGTCTTACGAATATCCCTCGCCCCGCCCCAGTTCACGTTGGCAAAGCCTGAAACGCTCCTTTGCCTGTCTACCAATCCACTCTGGCTCCCTAGAACCCGTTCCACTTTCTAATCGCCGCGACCAACGGGCCCCGCTCACCTCAAACTTGGGCTCCACCGGAAACTGGAATGTGAGTCCGCGGAAGTTCAGCAGGAACAGGTGGCGCTCCCTATCGTAAATGCCCGGGTGCGTGGCGCCGAACGTCTGGTCCACTTGCTGTATAGTTGGCGCCACCTCTTCGGAGCTGAACACGCTGCCTCTGCGGTACCAACGCGCGCGGTGTCAGACGCGAGAACCAGCATGTCAGGCGCACCATCTGGGCGATCACCACGAGACGCAATACATCAGGGTCAACGGTCGATTCGAAGGAGATAACGGCGTTGTGCAATACTGTCAGGTGAAAACCACGGCTTTGAAATCCCGATAACGAGTGAGTCGACAATCACAACAACAATGAGTTCAAGGTCCCGCTGCTGGTCTTTGTCCCTCGAATTCCTCTGTCCCTCTTTGTCTTGTCCTTTTGAAATGCTGGAAGAGTGATATTTCAAAGACATGGACAACTGACACAAAAATGCAGACACACAGACTTCCTCAACACGGGTAGGAACTTGTACCTTACATAAACACTAGCCAATACAGAAACGATCTGTATTCCACGCTCCAGCTTTGACAATTAACGAGCACGATTGATGCAATCAGGGCCTCTGGGAAAAATAAACAGCCGAGCCCAGGGCGCTGCACTGTGCACGCTCGGCTCACTGGTAATGACATATGCACCGTGGCGGTTGCCATTTCGCAGCACCCTTAAACTCGCCCCGATCTGACTGAGCCACGTATGCAACAGCTGACTGCGCACGGGCCAGTCCGGCGGCGAGGCTTGCGTCATTCAGCTCGTTACCATCCCCAGAGCAAGCTTGAATTCACGCGGTCTTGACGTCCACAAGGTTTCGTAACTTGCAAAATTATAAAGTGCACAACTGTATATGTGTGGAATACGTGTGGATGCATACATGTATGGACAAACTCTACATATCATTTATCGTGGTTCGCTTGTTCACATTTACGCCGTTTTGCGGCGCTAACAGCTCCGCCAGCTGTTCAAATGTTGACGCCCACCGCCCGGGCCCCGAGCGGGGCGCCAAGGTCGGGGTGGCAATCGCAACGGCGCTCCAGCTGTCAGCCTGCGCCAGCTAGCCCGTCATGTCGGCGCGGGCTGACGCGTGCATCATCCCACCGCACGTGTTGCGAGCTGCCACTGGCGCACAGCCATCTCGAGCGCGCACTGGGCTACCGCGAGGGTGACGCATGAGAGAGCGTCCTCCAACGGCCCACAGATATGAAAGGGGAGGGGGGGGGGGGGGGGGGGGAGCAGGCGAGCGGGCAATGATTCATCATCGCTCAGTAGACTCTGTCTGCGGAAGAGTCAGCCAGCTCTCAAGCAGTGAACAGCCTTCGACCACCCTGCACCCGGCAGCGCTGGGATTACACGCACAAGGACGGAATTAAGTCAGCTGTCGGTAAGAAATCCGGCCCAGCATTCCGCCATCTACCTTGAGTTGGTAATATTCCCTTACGCGTGCATTGAGAGAGAAAGGACATTTCGGTAATAACAACCCAGGACTGACTGAGTTCACGCGCTTGTTTAAGCACGACGAGCACAAAAAGCACATACCAATGAAATGAAAGCCAAAATGTTCCAATCCATACGTGCCACCCCACATTCCTGTGCACCTCTAAGGTAATTGTTTCAAATGCCCTGCACTTACCCGTACTTTAGCCGTAGCTTGCTCAGGTTATAGACCTCGATTATCTGAAATAAAAACAGCAACGTCAGATACGGCGACTGGCACAAATTCATCCCGTCATTGCCGGCAGGCGGCCCAGGAACATAGCACGCCCGGGTCCGTTCAGCACCTTTGTCTGATAGCGCCGGCGCCAGCAGATGATATCCGCTCCCCTCCAATTGACATTGGACGCGCTCCCCGTCGACCGTCTCCTGACCTTCTGGGGCCAAAAACGTTCCGACAAAAACCCGCCCGCCTGACAGTCAGCTGGGCCCGCCGCCCGACGCGGCGGCGAGGACGGCCCGACCGGCGTCTGCATGTGTCCGTGATATTCAGCCCGTACCGAATCTGGACCGGTCTGCATACATGCAAACACCGCAGGGGCCGCCAGAGAACGACGTACACAAAGAGGTCCGCCCGGGTGCGCACATGACGACAGGGAACCGATCACAATATGCATGTACGGCCCAGGGGGCCCGTCGGAGTGCGCGTTTTAAGGGAGGACCCGTCAGAAATAGATGAAAATGCCAGATTGTAATGTGCACAAAGGGGTCCTCGAGAGAGCGCACATACCGACATGGAACCGATCACAATATGCATGAATGGCCCCGGGGGCCCGTCATTTTGTCAAGTGTACATTTTGAGGGAGGACCCGTCAGGAATAGATGAAAACCACGGGACCGGCTGTCCGAAAACACGTGCTCGTGCTTCACGGGTCCATGTAAAGCGGCGCTGCGAGCCACCACATCTATCAGAGGACAGGTCCACCACGAGACCCGTCCGAATGTAGACGGCCACCCCAGACCCGTCCGAATGTAGACGGCCACCCTAGACCCGTCCGAGTGTGGACGGCCACCTGAGGACCCGTCCAAATGTAGAGAGCCACTCGAGACCCGTCCAAATGTATGTGGACGGCAACCCGAGACCCGTCCGAACGTAGACATCCACCCAAGACCCGTCCAAATGTTGACGGACACCCGAGACCCGTCCGAATGTAGACATCCACCCAAGACCCGTCCAAATGTAGACATCCACCAAAGACCAGTCCCGGCGCGGTCACACAACCATCGGGTGGAAGCCTGCGCGCAGGTCGGCGCGAGTCCCGCAGCCAGGATGCTGCGTAAATCGATACGGGTCCCGGAACAGCGCAGCGCGTAGACGGGCACAGCCGGTCGGTGCGCGTCGCTGCGCAGCCGGGCAGGAGCAGGTCCGGTCCGCGCTGGCCCGGGACGGCCGCGAGCGCGCGCGTCGCAGGCGACCTTGGCCGGCTGCGCTCGGGCCGCGCCCTTGGCGAGGACGGACGTGCGTGACCTGGCAAGACGCCGCGGGGGAGCGGCGCTCACGCGCGGGGACGGGGATGGGGATGGGGATGGGGATGGGGATGGGGATGGGGATGGGGATGGGGATGGGGATGGGGATGGGGAGGGGAGCGGGAGGGGGCGGACAGGCTACTGAGGTGACTCACCGTGCCGGGTCAGATGGCGCGCAGACAAGCGGCGCGCCAGGTGACAGCGGTCGGGTGGGCGCGCGAAACCACATGGCACGGATGCGTGATTGAACACGTGTAGTGGGACGCGTGGGGGTGGGGACGAGGGACGAATCACTGCGGTGACCGCCGCAACTGCGCAGCACAAACAACTGCAGGCGAGCCTACTGCGTTGTTGACGAACGCAGCTGCTGCGGCAGGCGGAGGCACACAACTTTCGTTAGAGCTTATGATGGATAACTGAGGCCAATTCAGCCCGCAGCCCCGCCATCGTTCTCCTAAATTGAACATTAGCGGCGCTACCCGAATCCTTCGTTTGAGACCATACCCTCACCGAAATAACTACCAAAAACAGCACGTTCGCATGTCGAAAAAAACATTGGCATAGCGGAAACCTCGGCGTTTCAAGAATTATCTCTATCAAAAAATAAAATGGAGCCTTCATTCTCAAGAGACTGTGTCCAGTTTGATACAGGTGCTGCATCGCTCACGTCGTTGCTATCTGTGCGGCACGGATGGCTACCGATCGTCCACTACTGAACGACTGACGGCCCGTACGGATCGAGCCTGCCGATGGCTACCGATAGTCAACTACTGAGCGACTGACCGCCCGTACGGATCGAGCCTGCCGATGGCTACCAATCGTCAACTACTGAACGACTGACAGCCAGTACGAATCGAGCCTGCCGATCTCTGAGTGAAGCATTTCCAAAGTTGCCACAACCTCCTCACACACTGCATTATTTTCTATTGATGGGAGTTTTCTGTTCACGCGGTAGCAATTCTGCGAAGTTCGGACTTAAGCATGGACACTATGGGATGCAAACATGCACGAGTGGTACTTTCACTGTGAAAGCATCGATCCACAGCGCTTTAGTCAGAGCCAACGAGCAAAAGTCGCCAGATTTTAGTTGCGCCGGGTTTACTTGTGTTGATAAGTTGCCTCCAACGCTGAATTTTCAGTTTGTTCCACGGAAAAAACTGATTAGTTTTTCAATGGATGTTTGCCCTGAAGGCGGCATTTTATCATTATCACTTTCACATTTCACACATCACATTATCATTCTACACAGTTTTGAACTCAACATAAGACAAATGGGAGTGAAGTATCAACGACGATGCAATTGGCACCCCAAAACGTTCCTGCCGTACAACAGCAGTTCGCAAAATTTTGATCGGATAATTGTCGTGGATCTCTTGCATTAAATATGTCTAACCTAGCTAACTATGCGAACCTCTCACGGTAAGTGACATATTCAGTGCACGGTAATCCGGGAAGAGACGGCGGCCCCGAGGCTGAACCAGGCCGACCGAGGCCAATCCGCGAGATGAGCTGGGCTACCACCGCTCAACCCGTGACGCCGAACGCATCAGCACGCAGCCCGTGAGCAGACTGGATCCGCGGCTCAGCCAGGCCGACCGAGGTCAATCCACGGGATGAGCCGCCCTGCCAACACTCAACCCGTGACGCCGAACGCATCAGCACGCAGCCCGTGAGCAGACTGGATCCGTGGCTTAGCCAGGCCGACCGAGGTCAATCCACGGGATGAGCCGCCCTGCCAACACTCAGCCCGTGCCGCCGAACGTATCAGCACGCAGCCCGTGAGCAGGCTGGATCCGCGGCTCAGCCAGGCCGACCGAGGTCAATCCACGGGGTGAGCCGCCCTGCCAACACTCAACCCGTGACGCCGAACGCATCAGCACGCAGCCCGTGAGCAGACTGGATCCGCGGCTCAGCCAGGCCGACCGAGGTCAATCCACGGGATGAGCCGCCCTGCCAACACTCAACCCGTGACGCCGAACGCATCAGCACGCAGCCCGTGAGCAGGCTGGATCCGCGGCTTAGCCAGGCCGACCGAGGTCAATCCACGGGATGAGCCGCCCTGCCAACACTCAGCCCGTGCCGCCGAACGCATCAGCACGCAGCCCGTGAGCAGGCTGGATCCGTGGCTTAGCCAGGCCGACCGAGGTCAATCCACGGGATGAGCCGCCCTGCCAACACTCAAGCCGTGACGCCGAACGCATCAACACGCAGCCCGTGAGCAGACTGGATCCGCGGCTCAGCCAGGCCGACCGAGGTCAATCCACGGGATGAGCCGCCCTGCCAACACTCAAGCCGTGACGCCGAACGCATCAGCACGCAGCCCGTGAGCAGGCTGGATCCGCGGCTTAGCCAGGCCGACCGAGGTCAATCCACGGGATGAGCCGCCCTGCCAACACTCAAGCCGTGACGCCGAATCCATCGACACGCAGCCTGCAAGCGAGGCTGGCGCACATGGGTGACTCGGTGTTCGAATCACGTTCTCCGCAGGGCTTGTTGCGTGCGTGCCGAGCGCATCACCCAAGGACGATCGGTCCCGCTCACCTGTCCACTGTCTTCCGGCTCTTTGTCGCAGGGTCCTACGCAGGGATATAGCTTCCTACTCAGTTGGGGGGGGGGGGGGGGAGGGCTGGAGCCCCCTCAACTTGGGCTATAGCCCTCCCCCCCCCAATGTTGCGAAGGAAGTGGCCCGAATCTGAAGAGAAACCTGTTTTTTTTTTTGGCATACTTTGAGGGTAGTTTGGGGTCTTTTTTCACTGTTCAGCCCGTTCCTATTTTTTGAAACTACGCCCGCGGTATTACGGGACATTAAGCGCTCGACGAGGCCGCCTCCGGGCAGACGGACCCCTTTTCGGACTGGACAGGAAGTTTCAAGGCCTTGCTCATAGCCGAGGCAATAGATATTACCCATCCAAGACCTTTTGGCTATTGAGTGCGCTGCTCGTGACCGCGGCGATCACCAAGGGCCGTGTCAGGACTGACCTTCAGATGACAGACCACGACCTTCACGGGACCGAACCGGCCAGCATGGGTCCCACCCAGCACCAACACAACCTGCGGTAGTCACTACAGTCTGCGTACCTTCAAGCGCTGGCCAACAGGGTCGAAGAGAAGGCGAATGCCATCATGGGTCATGTTTATCACCAGATCGTGCTCCAGCGGGCTCTGCAACAGACAGCGACAGAGTGCACGACTCGGTAGCTATGTCACACATGTGACGACGGAGCCCCCATTTGGCATCAAACATTGGCTTCAGAGTGGCGATATGGCACTGATGCGGTGGTGGTATAGCGGTTAGGGCGCTCGGCTGCGGACACGCCAGTCTTGGGTTCAAGCCCCTGCCGCGCCACCGCATCCCACATGATGCCTAAGAAACATCTTAAAATCGCTCTGGCAGTTAGGGAGATGTAAAGCCCAAACCATTATCATCAGCGTACAATGAGGCATTTAAACCTGGATAGCTTTCTACACTGAGAAGCACATCAGGATCATGGGAGGGTCAGTGGAACTGCCTTTCCATTTGAGGCCTGGTTGAGCACTTTGGTGCTGAATGAACCCATTTGTGGAAAGTCAATTGCCTCAGGTGATGATCTGTTGACACTGGCATCTTCGGCTAGTCCCGTGGACTCGCAGGTTCAGGTTTCTCCTCAAGTACTCCATCTATATTTCGTCATAATCCCACCCTCTTAAAATACACCTTAACAGACTTGCCCTAGCAATTGACCAGTGTACATATGTATACTCACAGTGTCACTGTAATTGATGTGGACATCTCGTATCACTCCGACCTGTTGCTGAATAACACAGACGGCCTGGGAGAAGTGCATGCCTGAAACATATAAAAAGGTGAGCTAAAGGATATAGTTATCAAAAGGCAATCTTGAAGTAAAAACATATCTATCACAAATTATCTGCTCTTCAGACTGATTTGTCTGTCAGACTTCAGACAGACAAAATTCTGCTCTTCATGAAGGCCCTTTAGGAAATGCAACTGATGCAGCTTTTTTACATAAAGGTTAAAAAAGATTTTCAGGGATGGCACCAAAAATTGTGCCTATAGGTGAGGAAACATTTTCCTTTCAAGGAGATCTCTGCTGAATAAAGGGTTTCTGTACAGCAAAAGGGTACCTTATAAAAAAGGCCTGTCATACAAAAAACACCAAAGATGTATTTTACATCATACTGTGTACTTTACTTTGTTAGCCCCCATGGAGCAAACAGGCAGCACCCCAAGCTGTTTAGATGATGACCACACAAAACTCTACAGTATGTGGCTGAGGCCCTCTATGGTTAGGACAGAAGCCTTGCAGAAGCCTTGCCTTGCATCATGCCTTGCATCATGCCATGAAGCCTTGCATCATGCAGAATCCTTACTTTACCAGGATACCCCCTCCATGCTCCATGGCAGGACATCATTTTGGAAATCAATGGGGAAAAATGTTATTAGTCTCCTTGATAGCCCCACCCAATCTCACAACAGAGTGCATGCCCCTCTGCTCTGATGGGTGGGTAGCTACCATCCTTGTCTACTTTATAGCACTGCCCATGCAACTTTTTATGTTTAAATGGCACAGATGTCCCAAGTTTAGTCAAAATCTGACAGGTTGTGCAACCAGATTGTCGGGAGCAAGCCTGAACTCAAGAGTGCTCAATCTAAGTAGCATGTACAGCCCCTATATTCTGCAGATAAACATGAAACTGTTAGAAATATTAAGACAAATTCAAGATGGAACCTGATAACAAAGTTTAGTATGTTGTGACCATGTGTGCTTGAGTTGGGCTAAAATAGACACTGCTGTAACTGCATGTGCATCCCAACATTTCCTGATCGTTTAACTAGATATATTTCACACAGCTATTGCACATACCTGACTGTGCACAGGGCATTTGCACATACCTAATCTAGGCAGCTTCGAAATAAAGCACTTCAGTCTTGCTGCTAACGAAAGAGAGTAGCCTAAGCCAAGGGAGAGAAATGACAAAGAAAGCATGCCACCCAAAAATGTGGACTGTTTTCTGCTAAACATTACACAAGAGCCAAAACATCTTACCTAGAACGAATTCCCATCGTTCATGGGACAGACTACTTTCTGGGACGACTTCCAGATCAAGCATTCTTCAGAGCTGTAACCGAATATAACTCAGATACAGCCCACAGGGTACGTAATCACTGAACTTCTACCCTGCTAGCCGCGCCCACTGCCGCGCACAGCCGTGCCTTTGTCCCGTAACCTTCAACAGCACCGACCCACTTCGACCAGCTGACCAAAACAAAACAACAGAATTGCGTTGTGACGCTAGGCAATGCTACCAAATTCTAACGGGTAAAAGCCACCAGCACGACCAGGAATATCACTAGATCCTAGTAGTTCTGAGGTTTTATGCGCTGTCGCCGCCAAACCGAGATCTCAGCGTGTGCATCGACTGACGATTGAAATCGCTGAAAACAGCATCCCTTTGTGGACAAATGGGGTCTGAGTCGATCTACGCAAGGTCACAGGTCTGTGTATATCAACTCAGATTAATATCGTCACCTTTGCGCATGCGCATTCAACTATTTTTACCGTTGCAACGCAGACGCCGGCCTGGACAGCCTCCTTCCGACACGTAGAAACAACGGCTGCCTCCCCCCACCCTTCAGATTTAAAATGCGTTCAGCTTGTCTCTCTGCTGCATTCAACATGCACGCCAATTTACTAAGTGTACCAGTCATCTTCCTCATATCGCACTGGACGAAAGTTTCAGCATCTGTACTCGTACACATCGCGAGGCAACTCTACGCGGCGTGGCTATTCTGAACCTGGTTTCAAACAATGCATAAAACCATGGTTCAACGGATGACGCTCAAGAACAATACAAAGCATACACGCGATCATGCGCGGTAATATAAGCCGTCACCCAATCGGTGCCTGTCTATCTTCATATCATGTGGTTGGATGTTACGTGAGGGGCCAATTGCACACATTTGCACGGATTGCCCGGCAAATCACTAGTTGCGGCCGCGATCGAGCAATTAAGCCATCACCACCCAGACTCGGAGCGCATCAGAGGAGTCGCGAGCCGATCATAATGTCAATGATCACCATGTCATTGTGTTGAGGCTATCACGATAGTGAATGTCATGCATGTTGACAATGTTACGAACGAGTGACTCGGGTTCGGATGTCTTCAAAAATTTCCTGAGAAAGGTGAGGTCGTGGAGCGACTACATATTTTTAGCTGGCAGCCCCCAAAGTTGCCGCAGAACATCCCTGATATAGTCATATTTCCTTCGTCCGGAAATAGCTACGACTGCGAAGTTTAAAAGGTTCTGCAGTCGGCCTAGCTGAGTACTTTTGCTACTTCCGTAAATGGTGGTCCAGTATCGGATCAGTCATACCACGCCACGAGCCGCCCCACCCGCGTGACCGGAGCAGACTGTGGCGGGCTCACGCGTGTCGATTTGCATCCTTCATGGTGGGCCACTGCCCCCCCCCTACCCAAGTCCATTTTGGTGGTCCAACGGTGAGTTTGGCCCCATGAACCTTCTGGAGCCTAGGTATGCACATGCAAAACATTAGAATTGAAAGCTTAAAAATATATTGAGTTCAAAGGTTTATCATGATTTGTCAACGGGCAAAACAAAGTACAAATGCGATGTGATGTTCAGTTCGGTGCGGCTGACGGAGGTCGTCAAACTTCAAGAGGTCCGCGTTCGCGCCACGTTTACTGGAGCGTTTTCTGTTTTTGCAGCATTTTCGTGTTTTGATTGCGTAGTTTCTATGTCTGGTTAATTCTGGTCCAATGTTGTGCTATTCTCTGAGAGTTTTGGCATTATTCAGCGATATATCAAGTGTTATCACCTGTAGCAAGCTGCGTTCGCCACGATATTCTGCTACGTGTTATCGGAGAATTCAACAATTCGGTCGAATGTAGATAAGACAGTAGTAATAGCCGTATTCCTCGTGGAAAATCCAGGAAGATAGAAGGAAACACGCGTTGGTATTTCGCCAAAATGTTATTATCGTAACGAATATCAGCAGACTAGTGGTCTTCGTTTCAATATAGGCATGTCGCCGAAATAGCAGCGCACCTATCTCCCAATTTTACTCTTTTTTACAAGGAATGAGGCTATTGCTATTGTCTTAGCTTTGTGTATAATGTTCCTCGCAAATGCACTTCGCAACTTACGTAAAGCAGTCGAACATTGGCACCAAAATACACGATTAATTTACAAGCCGCTGCGTGCGAAAGAACCTTCGAAAAGAGCCGGCCTCCACTTCAACCTGAATATTCAATGAAACAATTACGAAAACCCGACGATCAACATCATGCAACTAAGCCAATAGCGCTAATCGTCCGACAATGATCAGCAAAACAACACCAGACGTTTCGCACATGCCCATCGCGAATGCTGCGTTGCAGCCTGAAGCCCGGCTTGCAGCTTCCTGGCAGGGTATTCCGCGACCTTAAGCAGTTGCGAACATCAGCTTCACTCTTTATCCCCAAGCCACGCACGTCCAACAACATCCAAAGCTGCATAGCATTAGCCCTACCGACATTGACTTTACCATATTAACCCTACGGCGGCTACCGACACGTCGTTCTGATCATCGAGGCCTAGGAAAATTAGAATGATACCTAACTACGGCATCTCACGGCGAGATAGGGCGAGGAAGCGTACTGGAGCAGGAGTGAAGCTTCCTATTCAGCTCAGGCAGGCTCAAGTTTCATAATTTTGAATCGTTCAAAACCGGAATTACATTGGTGCTGCGTTTGAAAGTTGCTTTTTTTGTTGGTGGAGGCAAACCCTCGAACGTAGATCATCGTCAGCATCGTCCGGACTCAAGAGGTAGTACGACTGGCTGAGCGTGGGTGAGCTCACTGAGCACCGAGCATGTGTGCAGAAGCATAATCCCATGGCCACTGAAGAGCCAGCTTAAATACTAACGCCGTTGCAATCAACTCACATTGCGCATAACATTAACATGACGGGTATTTTGTTCAACTGAATGACATGGTGCGTTCAAACTGAATCGGGAGAGGGGCACTTTCCGTTCAGAGGCACAGAAACTTGGAACAGTGTACCCCAAAAGTGCAAAGACATTCCCAACGGGAAGGCATCTGCTTAAGCGTATTTGGGCCGGTTAAAGTTTGGTGTGTCAAGAACGTGCGTATAAACGGGTTGCGATAAACACATTTATGCTGAGCAGACCATTCCCTTAAAAATATAACTGAATAATCAAAACATTACCTAAGCACCTAATAGTACTTTCTACGAAGATTTTGCATCGCAGTTTGCAATGGAGACATGCAGCTGCATCCTTTCTGTATCACCAACGTTTTATGCTTTTGAGAAACTGATACAAACTGCCGGACTTCCACATGCAACTGCTGTGGATAAACACACTGACTTTAAAAGCGCAGTGAATGTTGATATATATATATATATATATATATATATATATATATATATATATATATATATATATATATACATGCATTGTGGATAACCAGAACAGGGAAGGAAATCCTAGAGATTTTTCGTACCCGTCATCTTTTGGCAGCCTCCATGGCTCTTGCAAATTTCAATCATTTAGAGAAATCGACACCCATGGGTAAGCTACGCCTTCAAGACTGAGCCCACAGAGTATGCCTGTATATCGCCGTACAATGTCGTCAGCGTGTCCCGAAAATGCCACGAGCTAGTCCAATATGACACACAGTTTCCGCGCAGTGGGAGTACCAGCAATATTGACTCCTATGAATTGAATGTTGATGATAGGAAGCCACTGAATGTTTTGACAAGACCCAAGAATAATGACCTGAGTTTTTTGTGCATTGCTTTTATCCCCTTTTGGTCATACTACCGAGACAGATACACCAGATTTTGTTTCATGGAGTTAACAAAGGAGCCCGTGCCGTCGGGTCTCCCAGACACAAGGACCTGGGTGTCGTCCGCATATTGCACAAAAGCTAAGCCGTCTTCACCGAATGACAAGTCATTACCATAAATCGAATACATCGAGGGTACCAAGGCGGACGCTCGGCATGTGCCGATAGGGTTCAGCAACGAACGAGAAGTCACGTGCCCACCACATGCCGTCCGAACTCGAACTGGCTGATAATGGTCTGTCAGGTAGCTTTTAAACCAGTGCTCGCGTACACCGCAAAGCCGAACCTTACGGAGAAGTTGGTCCGGTGCAGAATAACATCGAGACATTTGGACAAATCCAGGAGACAGAGCAGTGCAACTTTTCTCTGGTCCATGGAAGTAAAAACCTCGTCAGCGTTTGGAGCAACAGTTTTAACATAGACCACCGTCTTTTAACCAAGTTTTACCAGTTTTAATAGAAAGCAGCGCAGTGTCAGTCGGGTGATTTACGGGAAGGCATGGGTGTAGGAACAGACATGAACTGAGCCAGTGCCACCGCCCGTAGAACCTGATGCAATACCAGTGACAGAAGACATAGGTAAAGCTAACCTACTAGGTGACTCTTTTGCCAATCACAACCCATAACTGACGACCTACCTGTACCCAATACCGCGCTTGCGGATCCACCACCCACGTTAGATGGCATAACCATTACAGAGGATGAATTACTGAACGCACTCAGCTCTCTCGATCCAAACAAATCGTGTGGTTCTGACAATCTCCCAGAAAAAAGTATTAGGTGTAACTGTTATATTCTTATTATTATATTGATACGGACTAAACTCACTGAACTACCGAACATGTCGCTAAGCCAATGCACTTTTCCTTTCAACTGGAAAGAAGCAGAGGTTCGTCCCATTTTCAAAAACAAAGGGTCAAACTGGGATCCTGCTAACTACAGACCAATCAGTTTACTTCCTTGTGTGTCAAAAATTATCCAAAGAATTATCTTTAATAGTACCTATCAACACCTGATTGAGAGTAGGCTGATCCCGAAGAAACAAAATGGATGCCGTCCAAAACCTTGCGCACAAATTGAGCTTGTATGTTTACTTAACAGTCCTTATGCAGCTTTGTACCGAGGCAGTAACTTTGCAGCCATCTACTTGAGCATTAGTTAATACTTTGGCAATATATGGTATAAGGGACTCCTACTCAAGTGCTAGGACTATTGCGATTTGTCAGGAACTCTCCCGAGTTAGCTAGAATCATATCTTTCAGACCACAAGCAGAAAATCAAGGTAGGCAACGGTTTAAGCACCTCTGGCACAAAACATACTGGATGCCCGCAGGGGTTGGTTCTGGGGCTTCTCCTTGCGCCTAGATATCTTAACGACCT